AAAAAGTTGAGACTCAAAGATCTACGTAACTTCTCCCCCAGTCAAATTTACAGTGCATCAAAACAACTGGCTTGTTGTTTTCATCACGTCGAAGAATCATATGAATCTATCTGACCTTAAATTCCTGTCCTCTTTTCTCCACAGTTCACCCTGGTTTGCACTCTGTTTGTGAAAATACATGCGCAGCGCTCCATGCAAACGCACGACCAATTCATTTTCCCTCCGACACCAGGCTCACGACAGAGGCAGGTATAGTAACTGGTCAGTGGAGAAGCATCTTGTCTGACAATCACCAGAGAAGTGAAGTTGCTAAGCAACCTTTGGCCTTGATGATGGGAAATGATGTCATGCTGGAAGACAAAACACAAGCAGACAAATCCAGGAGAAGATAACAGGTGCGCACACACGCAGACACACGCAAAGCAAACGTTACAGCGTAGTAGGAAAAATGACTGTTTTGGTGGTAATCTGGGGAAGGGTTAAAGTTAATCTTCTCTAATGGTCTCACTGATCTTTGAGTCCATTAAGGGTGACCTTAAATACACACACAAACACACACACACATATACACACAATGCATGGTCCAAGCTGTGCTTTTAAATGTTTCTGGTTAAAGAAAATATAAATATATGTACATCTGTTTGTTTCTGTCTTCCTTCAGCCCCGGAGTGGATTCAACTCCGGCCTGTTTTCTGTGATCTATCCGTCACGTTTCCTCTCACACTCATGCACACGCTTTGACCACACACACATGCACACACAAGACTCCTGGAGGTAGCGACATGTGAAGCTGTGTTCAGGAGCTGAGGCTTGTGAGTGAAGATTTTCATTGGTGATTTTGTTCCTCATGTTCAGAGCTGCAGGGCTTGGAGTGCCACACAGTGTTCATGTTGTGTCCGTGCACGTTTTCAGCAGGACTGAGCCATGCTGCTGTTGATAGCCCTCTGATTGTAAAGTTAAATGTTTGAAATGTGAATAAAAATCGTACTCCGTGAGCTCCACAGGAGCTCTGTTTATACAAAGGGTTGTAAAAGTTTTCATCCCTCCTAGTGATCTTTGTCTTTTATCGTCTTTTTCTGCTTCTTCTTCTTTCGGGTGCTCCCTTCTTTAGGGGTCACCACAGTGAACTAACTCGCACGACTTGCCAATTGTTTTTACGTCGGATGCCCTTCCTGACAGAAGCACAGACCATGGAGCAGAGCTCTAGGGCACCCAGCAGACAGTGGAGTTGAGGGCCTTGCTCAAGGGCCCAGAGTGGGGCAAATGACAGTGGAAGCAAGTGTGGGTGCTTCACCTTTCCCGCCCACATTTTGATGTTGTCATTCTGGGGAGTCGAACCAACGACCTTCTGATCAGAGGCTCTCCTTCTCTTCATCCATCCATCCAGCCATTGTCTTTAAAATAAGGCCAACACATTAGAATTTCTTACGCAGATATGTGGAAGCTTCTCCTTGAATCGCCACCTTATAGTGACGGACGAGTTTGTGCACCTGAATGACGAGCTATGCTGTCGGGAGGGTCTCCTAATGCAGATTGGTCCTGGCTGACAGACCAGACAAAGAGCGATTCTGAAGACTCTCATGGACATAAAACAGCAAAGAGCTCAGTGTCCCTTGCCCTGACATGGGTTACCCTACAGGGGCTTGTCGGCGAGCACCTGGTGACCAGGTCTCTACCCATGGGGTCCAGTCGGTCTCAGCCCAAACGAACAACATGGGTTTGCCTTCCTGTGGGCCCATCACCTGAAGGAGGGGCCAAACGAGTTGGGTGCATGATGCCATGGGCAATGGACCCTTGGCACTTTGACCCTGGCTTACCAAAGCTGGTTCTTGAGACTTGGAAGGTAATCTCTCTGGCAGGGAAGGAGCTCGAGCTTGAGCATGAGGTTGAGAGGTACAGACTAGTTGGGCTCACCTCGACGCAGAGCATGGGCTCCAGAACCAATCTCCTTGAGAGGGGCTGGACCTTATTCCACTCTGGAGTTGCCCATGGTGAGAGGCGCTGAGCTGATGTGGGTCTACTAATATCTGCCTGTGCGATGCAGTTTTCCCTGGTTGATGAGAGGGTATAGCTCTTCTATATCTTTGGGCAGGGGGACGGGCTCTGACTGTTGTTTGTGCCTATCTGCCAAACGGCAGTTCAGAGTATCTGGCCTTCTTGGAGTCCTTAGCAGAGGTGCTGTAAGGTGCTCCAGCTGGGGACTCCTTTATTCTGCTGGGGGACTTCAATGCCCACGTGGGTAACGACAGTGTGAACTGGAGGGGCGTGACTGGGAGGAACGGTCTCTCAGATCTGAACCCGAGCAGTGTTCTTTTGTTGGACTTCTGCGTTAGTAATAGTTTGTCCATCACAAACATCATGCTCAAACATAAGGGTGAAGCAACTGGGATAAGCACCTTTAAATCTGAGGCCATGGTCTTCAGTCAGAAAATGTGGATTGTTCTCTCCAGGTCGAGGGTGAGATTCCGCCTCAGGTGGAGGAGTTCAAGTTTCTTGGGGTTTTGTTCACAAGTGAGGGACGAATGGAGCGTGAGATTGACAGACAGATTGGTGCGACATCTACAGTATTGTAAACTCTGTACCGGTCCGTTGTGGTGAAGAGGGAGCTGAGCTACAGGACGAAGCTCTCTGTTTACTGGTCATTCTATGTTCTTACCCTCACCTATGGCCACAAACTTTGGGTAGTGACCTAAAGAACGAGACCACAGATACAGGCAGTTGAATTTCCTCTGCAGAGTAGCTGGACTCTCCCTTAGAGACAGGGTGAGAAGTTCAGTTATCAGAGAAAGACTCGGGGTGAAACTGCTGCTCCTGAGGTGGTTTGAGCATCGGGTAAGGATGCCCCCTGGGCACCTCCCTAGGAAGGTGCCCGGGTATATCCGACTGGGAGGAGGCCCTGGTGGGAAGACCCAGGACACACTAGTCTTTTGGTTGGCCTGGGAACACATTGGAATCCTCCCAGAAGAGCTGGAAGAGGTGGCTGTGGAAAGAGAGGTCTGGACCTCCATGGTCAAGCGCTGCCCCTTTGACCCATCTTCGGAACAAGTGGAAGATAATGGATGGATGGAACATGTGAAAGATGGTGCTGCGGTCAGATAGGACCAAAACCTTTAGGCCAACACCATGACTGAGGCAAATCTACCACTTTTCATCTTGCTTAAAACAATTAAGCTCAGTGATGGTAGCATCATGCTGTGGAGATGTTTCTTCTTTGTTTTTAGCAAGAGGGGCTGCTGATGAGTTAAAAAAAAGATGAATGGAGCAAAACAAAGATAAATTCTGGAGAATAATTTGTTGGAGTCTTTTAGATCTTTGAGACTGGGGCTGAGGTCCACCTTCTAGCTGTAACAGGACACTGACCCTAATCACACAATTATGCTTTAAGGAGAATGAATTAAACGTCCAGAACTGGCCCAGTGAAACCCACACCTGAGTCTCTGGATTGAATTAAAGATTGTTGAACACAAATGATACCAATCCAACCGCTAGGAGCTGGAGTCAATTTAGTCCTGAAGATTGGACAAAAAGTCCAGTGGTTATGGACCAAAACCCTCGAGATGTAACTCAAGATCCTGTCGTTAAAGGCGTCTTTGGTTTAGGACAATGTATTTGTATGCCTTGTTTTTCAGTTTTATATACTTTTTAATTACCTAAAAAGTTTTTTTGCCACGTTTTATGACAGTACTAGTTTTTGTAGTATTGCTTTTAATCAAATTTAAAATGCAGTTAAACTCAACATTTTAAAGTAACAGTACAAAGATGACCCAGTGGAGGGAATTATTTTGCAGGACTTTTGTCACCTCTTAATACTGTGGATCTGTGGCAACACTTGCATAATGACATTTAAAAGAACATGTCAAATATGTTCTGCTAAAGTTAAAAAATTAAAAAAAAATCTATTCATTAGAGACGGTTAAAAAACAGACAAAGTAGTTTGAACCGTTTATTTTTCAAAGCAGGATGAATTATGGGATACATTTAAGATCTTAATCGTATTTAGTTTTACATTAGCTAACACAAGTTGTTCTTCATCAAAGTATATAACAAATTTAATTCAAAAGTACAAATATTTAAAGGAAAACCTATAACTTTATGTAAAACCATAACAAACGATGCTCAGTGGTCAATGTTATTTTGACAACCATTGATGTTGAATCAATTCAACCCAAACCCATAAACACTTTTCAGTCAGAACGTTAACAGGAAGAAGCTCCAAAAAGCAAAAATTATATTGATTTGTTCGACTGAGGTTTTTGCAAATAAAACTTAAATTCTCATGTTTGAGTTTGACGTAAATGATAGAATTACCTAAAACACTGGTGTAGCTCGTCCTTCATGAAATCCTTACAAGACAAACTGAAGGCAACTGGACTTTTTCCATAAATACATTTTTTTTAACTATTAGGTCAAGTTCGTGACTTGAAAACTGAAAAGCTCAGATGAAATGAGAAAAAACGAAGTTAGCATTATTTAACCAAATGCAGAACCTGGGGGTCTGACTTCAAACACTAAAGCACAAATGTCTTGTTGCCAAAGTTCAAAAGAACTGGATTCATGCAGACTTGAGCAGACAAACAGACATGGGGAAGAAAAATACAAGTCAGAATGAGGTCAAATCCTTTTAATAAAAAAAAAACATCCTTTAATTAAGTCACATTTCCAACAAATTTCACTTTCACACCACTACACACATTCACTCAGCAACGTGAGTTAGTTCACCTTGTAAGAGCAAGAACATGAAGACTGATTTGTCTTTAAATAAACATCCTTGATTTAAACAGTCCAGTGTGGCAGAAATACCAAGTCTGCATCAAGAACACAACTAGACATTCTGCAAGTTTTAGCGCATTAATCTTTAATTCTTTTCACGTTTAATTGTTTTTACAAGCAGACATTCATTAAGAAAACCAGTTGGCAAAGCTATAATCTTGTGGAAAATAAATGTCTAAACAAAGATTTTCGGCTTATTTTTATATGAAAAAAATAAATAATTATACCAGAATAATGACTTTAAAAAATTATAGTTGTAAATTATTAAAAATAACCAAAAGCCATCATTTGGAGCTTATGTGCTAAAACATGCAAAACTGCTAGTAGAGATGGAAAAAGATGGTAATTGCGATTTCAGTAACGACAGTCGTTCAATATTAAAGCCCTGACAAGCAAACTGTGGTGTGATCAAACCGAGGAGAAACAAACATTTCTATTTACAAACAACTCAAAGAGAAACAGCCATTCTTTAACAAGAAGCAATCACATCCCTGAGTACAGTGCTCGTTATTCCTATCAGACTGATTGCTGTGTGATCAGCAGTCTTTTTGGGTCGGCTGATTAAAATGGGGCTTCACGGCATCCCTCCAGTTGTTTGTGACCCCCACCAGCACTTTACGAGACCCCAGCAGCGATTTCAGGCACAACAAAAGTCCATCTCGTTCTGTTTGGAGTTGTGGCAGGAGGATGAACAGGAGCTCTTCGTCAGTGTCAGGAACGATCAACAGTCTCCACTGATTCCTTTAAAGGAGGCAGCTGGAGCAGAAGTGATCAGTTGTTTATTGGGAAAAAAATAAAATAAATCTTGTTCACAGCCATGAAGTTGATGATATTTGGCAATCAAGCCAGTTCAAATGGAGCCTTTTCTTCCTTTTTTTCCCTTCTTCTTATCTTCCTCCACATCTTTGTCTTTGCTCTTTTTGAGCTTCTTCTTCTTGCTTTTGTGCTTGTGGTGCCGGGACCCTCCTTTATCCTGGCTGCTGTGCTTCTTGTGCTTCTTGCCTTTTTTGTGCCTCTTGTGTTTCTTCTTCTTTTCAGCTGTGGGGACTGAGCTGCTGAGGTTGCTTGCCGACGGACTAAGGGACGGCTGAACAACAGACTCGCTCGGGCTGCCGCTCTTCCCTCTCTCCAGCTCAGAACCTTCGCCTTCGCTGTAGTCCGGCACGAAAGCCGCCTCGTCCGTCTCCCGTGTCAAGTCGGAACACAAGCGCTGCTTCCTGGGCTCAGGGTTACGACTCTCCTCTCGTCCACCTCTTTTATCATCGTCTTTCCCTAAAGTGCGTCTTTCCTCTTCCCTCACAACTTTTGATTTGGGTGGTTTGTCTAAATCTGTATGTGAAGACCTGCTACCCTTACCCTCCTCCTTCACAGCTTTCTCTTTCTTTTCCTCTCTGGTTGATCCTTTCTTCTCCTCCCTTGAAGCATCCCTAACTTCACTCTTGACAGATTTTGGGACTTCGAGCTGCCCCTCTCTTCCTCGGCTCTTTTGCAACACTGGTGCAGCGAAACCATCCTCCAAGCCTTCCTCGTCATCTTCCCTCTCCCACTTGGAGCGTGGGGGCGGCTGAATGAGGGGCTCTTCCCTGGCCGGGCTGGCACTCGGGCTGCGATTACTGCTGCTCACAGGGCTGGACTGAGGCTGCTCTGGAGGGTTGGAAGATACATTCTTCTTGTCTTTTTCCGAGTCTTGCCTTTTCTCTTTAGTCGACCTGTTGTTGAGAAATATATTAATTGACAGCAGAATATAACTTTTAACCTTTCAAACATAATTTCAAAAATAATTAGACTGGGCACAAGTCTAAATGATTAACTGCTGTTACAACTTGGTTTAGATGCCAGAACAATCCAACAAACAACTCAAGTCTGCAGTAAAAGCTGAAGGTAAGGCATTTTATTCTGAAGGGATTTTTTTAGCTTTAGTCACCATATAGGAACAAATCTGATGTCGTATAAAAAAAAAGAAAAGAATTTAACAAGTACATAGTGATAAAAATTTTAATAGATAAATTATCACTAGGCTTGTCACGATAAATTTTGCTGGGCGATTGTCTCAGAAATTATTGCGATAAACGATAATATAGTTTGAAATTTGACAATAATTAGTAATTATTGTCAAATTTAAGAAGAAATGTTAAATTTGTTTTGAGTGTAGGACCTTTTTTGACCACTGGTTGGCAGTGTGACTGTTTGAACCGAAGGATGGATAGTGAGGGAGCAAGTAGCGTGTCTAAGAAAAATGGGAGGGAGGCCCCTTGACATGACATGGGCTCTCTTTTCTTTTTTGGTTCTCAAAATGGCGGATGCTCGGTGTGGTTTGAGCTCTTTAGCATAGCATTTTTCACACAAAGCTTTTAATAAAAAAAAAAAAAAACAGTAAATAAGTTTTCAGCTTCTTTTTGCAGAGAAAAACAACGTTTTGCATGAAGGCACGGGTTTTAACCAGGAATTTTGAAGCTTCAACAAGACGGAGGTTTTCTTCCCGAGGTTGGCCCGTTAGCTTAGCTCGTAGCTTAGCTTCTCAGCTTAGCTGCTTTTAACAATCCAAAAACGTGATTTTGGACGATTAAAACAGATTTTAAAGAGAAAAAGAAAGGGAGGGGTGAATGAAGAGCACCGGAGTTGAGTCTTTTGTCATCCAGTGTCTTCAGAAAGAGAGACATGAAGAAATGATAAAGCCAATAAAAGAAAACGAGGTAGATCATTTTCATTTATCATGCAATTAATTGATTTATTGTTTATTGCGACAGGTCTAATTATAAGTCCAATTTACTTGCAAGTCAAAAAGTTATTAATTCGTCAACAGTAATTGCATGTCTCAGTGCATTTACAGTTGGGGATGACTGGTTGACAAAATAATCAGATCAAAATCAACCCTCCCGTTTATCCAAAAACTCGGGATTTATGTAATTTCATATTTTTTATAACATTTTCCTTTGACAGAGCTGGGTACTCATATAGGTGTCCAGCACCCACCATAACTCCACCAACTTTGTCATCATGTGACCAGAAGTCTAACCGAAATGACCAATGAGGTCGGACCCATCCCCCAAGATAGACGTGTATGAATTTCTTCAGATCAGTTACCGTATTTTGCGCCTCGTGCACAGATCTGTTCATCTGTTCAGCGATTAATGGAAAACGTACAGAGAATTTCTTATGATGCAGCTTTCAAGTTAAAAACGATCGGTCTGGCTGTCGAAGAAGGAAACTGCTGCCGAGAGAGAGACGGAGGCGGGAATGACGTTTTTCTGAGCCTCTTCAATTCTGACACAGAAGAAGAGGGACTTCAGTGCACACGAGGAAGAAGAGCATAGCAATGATGAGTTACTTTTGGTCAACTACTGGTCCTGGTAATTTTGGTTATGTAGACGTTTGGCACTGTTCTGTCCAGTGATTATGCTTAGAGAGTTCTTGTGTTTTTTTTCTATAGGTTAAATGGTTTAAACCATCATGAAGACATGATGATTCACAAGTCATAGACTTTGAAACACCATCCGGTGGCTGATTCTTGTAATACAACAAGAGCTGCACATAATGCCAGGAGCTGGGTACAGATTCTGATAATGAATGGTGGATACTCGCTGCTTAAACACTGCTGCGTCTTATTTATGTACAAAATTATGTTTGAATAAATTTAGTATGTGCAGCTTACAGTCTGGTGCTGTATAGCCTGGCAATTATGGCAAGCAACACTACAAGGCACCATTAAACCAGACATTCAAAAAGTAAAAATAAAAAAAATCCAACACCCCCATTTGACAGTCATTGAAACCACTAAGTGAAAACATAAGTACATCAGGCTTACTTAGAGATTGCAGCGTGGCTTGTCAAAGCCTTACGACTGATCCTGGGTTTTCTCTTCACAGTTGTCTCCTGACCATCTTTGGCTCCTCAGAGAGAAAAAAGAAGCAGTTTTATAAAGATTTCAATAAAAGGCAGAAACTAAAACTCAATCATCTTCTGCAGCACTTTTGTAGAGCTTTTAATTACCTTCTTTTTGAGCAGCAGCTGGTTTTTCTCCTGAGAGGGCACTCTTTGCTGTTCTGTCCTTGGATGTACTCCTGGGGAATGGGAGAATATAATTACATCTATTAAGAACTGTGTTTACAGACAGAGCCAGCCTATTAAGCTGTCTTTTGATCCTAATCATGGAAAGTTGTTTGACAAACGGTAGAATACAAACATAATAACCTGTCGTGAGTAGTGACTCTTTCTGACCCATCCCCACTCTCTTTGGAAGAAACGCTTGGTTTTTCATGGTCTGTCAATTTTCGGGTGATGGCAGACTTTTCGCCGATTGTCATTTTATCCACAGAGACTGACCTCCCACCCCCACTTCCACCAGTGGATTTGTTTTGTTCAGTCTTTATCAACTTCTTGCTTTCTGTGCCTTTGCTCACTGATGCTTTCTGTGAGCCTGAGACAGAAACTTTGTCCTTCTCTCTGTCAGAGACCTTTTCCTTTTCTCTGTCAGAGACCTTGTCCTTCTCTCTGTCAGAGACCTTGTCCCTCTCTCTGTCAGAGACCTTGTCCCTCTCTCTGTCAGAGACTTTGTCCCTCTCTCTGTCAGAGACCTTGTCCCTCTCTCTGTCAGATACTTTGTCCCTCTCTCTGTCAGAAACCTTGTCCCTCTCTCTGCCTTTATCTGAACCAGAAGGTCTGTCTCGCTCTCTGTCCTGCTCTCGGTTTGACCCGTGGCACCTGTCTCCTGCGCTGCCTGGTCTCTCTCTGGAGATCCCCCTTTCTGCAGATGCTGATCGCTCCTTCCTGACTGCTCCTTCTGAGGTGGTCGTCTTTTCAGGACCCGACTGCGTTCTGTCAGAGGGGGCTCTCTCAATACTGCGTCTTCGTCCCAGATCTCTGTTCAACTTGATTTTCCTCAATGGCTTCTGCACACATAAGCAAAAAATAAAAAAATTTAAATTTAAACCATGTAACAAACTACTTTTTTTGAGGACTGAGGCAAGAGACTCACCTGAATGTCCAAAGGTCTAATGGCTCCTCGATCTATTTCTCCCCGGCCCAGTTCATGGGGACCTGGGAAGGAAAGAAAAGGTCTGTCTGCAGGGTGTGGCAGCCTGCGGAGTGGAGGTTGATGGAGATGCATATAAAAGGGGGCATCCCCTCCACCATCTAACCCATCTAGTCTCCTCAGCTTTTCAGGAGGGGGTCCCAGTAAAGGGCGACACTCCTCTCCAATCCTCCTCCAACTATCTATTGGTGATGGAGGTCGGGGAAGGAGTCTGTTGAGAGGAGGGAGGTGACCATCACCCTTTGAAAAGTCTCTTCTACCCTGTATGTCGTGGCTGGATCGAGGGCCATCGTGAAAAGGATGAGGTGGAGGCAGATTGTGGGAAGAAGCCGACGGGGGCTTTATCAAGGCGGGCCTCATAGTGGAGCTTTTACTCTTGTCTTTTTTGGGTGTAGTTGAGTTGGAAGTGTCATCTGGTTTGGTTTTAACAGTCTTTAATGATTTAGTAACAGAGGAAGACATTGAAGAGTCTTTCTTTTTGGTCAACACAGCTTCTCCAGTCTTTTTCTTCAACTTGTCACTCTTCACCTTCACAGCCTCGGTCTTAAGTTTAGCTTTCACCTTTAGACCTTTTTCTTTCTTCGTTTTATCCAACTGGGCCTTGGATGTTAATTTGGTTGTGGGTTTAGCAGGAGCAGCAGTACCTTTAGAAGCTGAAGCTTTTGGAGCCTGGGTGCCACCTGAATGCCTCGAAGAGACAGGAGGTGTTTTATTTGGTGATAGTTCATCCATTGGTTCATCTCTGACTGGAGTAACATCACCTGTATCCAGAGACTGCTGTGATGCTTGAGGCTCCTCTCTCGCCTTCTTCTTTTTAATTTTCTTTGACTTTAAGATTTTAGAGCTGGACTTAGTACCTGATGCAGCAGAAGATGGGAGATGATGAGGTGCACCATCTCTCTCTTTTTTGCCTCGCTTTCCTTTGCCCTGGGGTGAATAATCTCTGGATGACGAAGACATTTTGTCTCGTTCTCTGCTACGACCTCTGTGATGCAGGACAGGATGTTTGCCGTCATAGTCTTTGTAATAGTTGTTGTACCAGTCTGTGTATTCCTTCTCCATCTGTCGATACCGTTCTCTTTCCCATCGGTCATGACTTCCTGGACTGGCTCCCTTTAGGTCATACGGCAGCAATTCCCGAGGAGGTGGCTTTCGACCACCAGGGCTACGGCTCCGATAGCCACCAGGAGAGCGTGACCGTGACCTCGACCTATAGGGTCTGGCACTTTCTGCGCCATCCCAACCACCTGCCCGGTAGGAGAGAGGAGAACGTGGCGAGCCTGAGCGCCGGTAACCATACGACCTTGAACGAGAGCGGGACCTTGTCCGCGAACGTCCAAAACTGCGTCCATTGCGTCTAGAATAAGATGAGCGGGGATAAGATCGGCCATGGGACCGCGAACGGGATCGACTTGGAGAAAAAGAGTAAGACCTGGATCTTGATCTAGAGCGTGAGTAAGGAGAGCGGCTTATTGAGCGGCTGAATGACCGAGACCTAGGAAAAACAAAAAGTTGAAAGAAAAAGTTAAGTTAAAAACAAACAAACAAAAGAAAGTGCATAAGTGATTATGGATTATGCAAATACAATCTCTATAAGCACTAAAGGCCAACCAATTGTGACTGTTTAGGTAACAGAAATTAATGACAACGATTTGATTCTGAAAAACTTAACAGCTGTTAAATCGTCTAATTCTTTAGCATCAGTGAATATACCGTATTTTCCACTGTACATATCGCATCAGTCCAAATATGTCTAATAAAGTGGAAAAATCCATAAATACGTCGCTTTGCCGAATCTATTATGCATCACCACTAACACGTCACGTTTGTTCCGTGTAACCGTTGACAACCCGGAAATGTGGGCCGGTGTGCCAAAAATCGATTGGCTGCCAAAAGGCGGCCGCGGGAGCGTGCAGGGGAGGATTGTAACAAGAATTTAACAAGATTAACACTTAAAAACAATTATTTGTTTGCTCAAAAGTATAGTAAAGGTGTGTCTCAGTCTAAATTTTCCTTAATAAATGCACTTTGACAGTCAAATCAGCTGCATTTCAAAAACCGATATGCAGAAACGCACAGAGGGTGACTCGCTGTGCATTTCTTCGAAATTTAACAAGATAAGTACCTAAAACAATTATTTGTTTGCTCAACATTATAACAAAGGTGTGTCTCAGTTGAACTTTTACTTAATAAATGCACTTCAATGGTCAAATCAGCTGCATTTCGCCGGGGCAGTGCAGCGAAATGAAGCTGATTTGATGGTTGCTCCAGGAGAGCTGGATGAAGGGGGCAGGCAATAGCAAGCAGATTGTGTCATTAATAGAAATCACATCATGTTGCTGCTGATCGGTTTCATGTTGCTGCTGATCGGTTTCATGTTGCTGCTGATCGGTTTCATGTTGCTGCTGATCGGTTTCATGCTGCTGTGTTCGGTTTCATGCTGCTGTGTTCATTCGTGCTCATCTGCTCACACAGACTCATGTTCGTGCTGCTGTTTGGCGTATTTTGTTTATTGTTTTTATGCTATTAGTGCTTAGCGTATTTGTAACTGATGTTTTTCTTCGTTCATATATTACATCTTGTTACTGTTTTTCTTTTACATTTTATTGTTGGATGTAACTGGGACCCTAAGTACATAATTTTGTTACACATGTATCACATGTGATACGAAAAAAAGAATCCCTGAATAGCCACTTTTTACTTATTACATGACACAACAGCATGCCATAAACCGTGAGTGCCATCTAGCAGCTGAAAATGGTAGTGTTCAATATTTTCAGTAAGAATGAATGAAAACGGTCATATCGCAGACAAAAATTAGTTTATAAAATATGGGAAAAATCCATAAATATGTCGCTTTGGCCTATAAGTTGCAGGGCATGCAAATTATGCAAAAAATGCAACTTGTATTGTGAAAAATACGGTAGTCATGTTTATTCTGAGAAGTACAGCAACTTGTTTGCTACTTCACTAAAGTATTTACAAACAAAAGTTTAATTTATTATATGGCTGTGAACAGTTTTAAAAAGAAAAAACTTAAGCAAGACTAAAAACTTTGGATAATAATAAAATTTTCAATCTGTCCTTTTCTAATGCACAGAAGGAGCATTAAAAAATAATGAAAATAACTGTCTGGGTCATTAAGGTTTGCTTGTAAAAAGGTGGCCTAATGAAAGCTGTCATGTTTCAAGAATGAACAGGACTTGACATTGCCTGAACTTTATTTAGACTATGTTTGAAATGATGATGAATGTCTGAAAAACCTCCAACAACAGCAAAACCTAATTTCAATGTGACCGTTTGTACAACAGCCTGTCAGAACTAAGCACAGCTGATATCCAGCAATTGATAAAAGCACATTTGATAAAATTTTCTAAAATAAATTACCTGGAATAGGATCGTCTCCGTCTTTTTGAAGCATTTCTGTATTTCATAAGTTCTTCATGGAAGTCTTTAGTGAATTCATCCAGTTTGGATGTAACTCTGGGAAAAAAAATAAAATAAAATATATATATATATAATATATATATATATATATATATATATATACTGTCACACATTTTCTATTTCTGTTCAATACTACAGCATCCAACACCTAGTAATATAAAACAAAACTGAACTGTTGTACTGTAGCTGTTTAAAGACTAACTCACTTGTCTTGTCGGTGGTGCCTCGGTCTGTAGAAATCGTCTTTAGATAGATGAGGCGGTAACAGAGGTGCTGGTAAAGGGACAAGAGAGGGCGGGGCACCGGGGGCAATCCAGGGAGGGTTCAGCCCTGGTGGTCCAGGGGCATAGACAGGCTGTGGCTGGAAACTGATGGCAGGTGGGGGGATAAGGCCGGGCCCTGAGCTGTACGGAGGAGGGTAGGGCTGGGGTGGGGCTGGATACAGGGGAGCTGGATAAACTTGAGGGGCAGGTGCTGGAGGTAGTGCGGTCTGGAGGTGACTAGGGGGTTGCTCCCCTCGATTTCTGTACCTGGTATGAAAACGAGAGAATAATTATGAGAGCAACAATTGACAAAGGAAAAAGATCAGGTTTGTGGAATGAGTTTTACCAGTGTCTGTTTCCTCCTCCTCTGTGGGACTGGCTGGGCCTCGACTGCTGGCCTAATACAGCAGAGATAAAGAAGTCACTTTTATTTGTCTCACATTTACATTTACCACATCTTTAGAAAATTAAGCCTCTAACCTGACGAATGCCTTGCAGGTGGCAAGTGACTAATAACGGGCAAACTGTAGCTCTGGAGAAAAAAAAAAAAAGAAAAAAACATGTTACAGTTCAAGAAAAGCTGCAGATTCTTGATTTCAGTCAAGTGTCGTATGCTGCATATTAGGTTAAGTATTTTAAAGTGCAATTAAAAAGCACTGGCCTACAAGATTAGGAACCAACCTGTGATGTAGATTTTGATGGTCCTGAAGAGTCTTCTCGAGTCATAGCTGGCTCTGGCTCAGCCTCCCTGAAATAAAAAGATTCATGTTAAGAATCAAAGTAGCTCCTTAAACCTTACTTCTTGACGTTCAGTTTGAATGGAAACATCAGCCAGCTTTAACAAATCTTACTCTAGAGGGGGTGGTTCATCCTGGCTGTTTGAGAGTTCAGGAGAATGACTGTCAACAAGTTCAGGCGTCGGTGAAGCCTCTCCTTCTTCAACTGCTGCAGCATGAGGAGGACTAGGCGTTGCAGGAGCAGGAGGAGTGGCAGCTGCAGCAGTAGAAGGTGCAAGCGGTGGGACTTCTGACTTAGGGGCTGTTGTGGGTACGCTTGTTGATGGAGGATGAGAAACATTGGCCAGAAGAGGGTCCTGCTGTCTTGAGTGCAGAGGCCTGAACAACTGTGGGCGAGGCGGAGGAGGGGCTGCAGGCTGGACCTGCTTGCGTCCACGTTTGGTGTAACCCGTCTCATTCTTGAAGTTATTCACAGCCTTCATGACAATATGGATCATAAGTTTAAAATCAATTCACGTAACCTCAACACCATACAAGAAGTCAAGTATTTGAAGAAACTACCTGTCGAAGAAACTTGTTGGCAATAAGATTGTCAGGCGACACGTCCGACTGTTTGCATGTGAAGCAAATGTGCTCCTCTGAGTCCAACAAAAAGGTCCTGATACCTGGAAACAGACAAACCACCCCGTGTGTTAAACAGGAACTTGCCCAATCTCATCCAACCACTTTGACACAGAATCATTTAAGATCAACCAGGATAGAAAACCACGGCAGTACAATACCACTGATGTATCAGACATATTTATGACAGCAACATAAACTAATGCACTAATTAGGTTTCTTTTTGTTAATGATCTAGTCACTCACAGTCATCACAGTAACTGTTTCCACAGCAGGGTATAACCACAGCATCAGTCATCAGGTCATTGCAGATCGGACACAAGAGTTCATCAGGAATCGGGTCTGAATCATCTTCAGACGACGACTGTTCGTGAGGAACAAACGGAGGGCGCTCTTTCTTTCCTTGAGCATACGCCTCTCTAGAAATACAAGTCGACACTTATTTTGAGGGCAAAAAAGACATTTGATCTTTAAACAAAAAAAACTGTGAAAAGCCAAATGAAAAACATAATATTCAGCAAAATTTAATATTTTCAGCTGACATACGCATCTATAGCCGGTATGGCATATTCTCCGGTGTTCGTCAACATCGCTCCCTTGGCTCCTGGCTCCACTTTCACCATGAAGCTCTGTGGTATGCCCTTACTGGTTTTTACTTGCTTAGGAGCTTCTGCACTTTTATCCTGCGCCTGAGAAAAGAAAAAAAAAAACACAAGCCATTATTATAAAGTGTGAAAACGAACATGAATGGTAAACAGTTAATGCCACAGAATACAATTAAACGGTGCACAATTACCAGCGCAGGACAGTTTCGAATGTGGTGGCCAGACTTCTCGCAGCGATAGCAGAGATAGTGAGCAGGCGGGGGTCCAGTTGCCTTTTTGGAATAACTATAACATTAAAGTTAAATTTAGTCAAGCAGTATAAATTCATTTAAAGTATAGAAGAGTTTGATTAAATAAAGTAAAGATCGTGAAGCGTGTTTACTAACTGTATAGGATCGTATTCATGGTTCGACTGAGACATCATGGCTTTAATCTTGTCCTCCTCGGATGCATTTGCGTCTACCAGGTTTGGGGTCTAAAACGCAGTGGAAAGATAAAAATTTTTAGAAAAGATTCAAATAATTCAATAAACTTCTGGTGATTTTTTTTGGGGGGGGGGGGGGGACTTGACATTTATAAGAAGGCTACCTTGGCGAGCTGCGCAAGAGTCAAAGAAGGAGAAGAATCCGTCTGCAGGAGAACCAGAGCATATAAATGAAAAACTTTAACATGTTCATTAAACACACTGGGCAGCCCAGTTTTCCACATCTGTGTCCAGTCCACTCATGTTTTCACAACATATTCGCTCTATTGTAGCACACGTAAAAGCACATGAACGAGCACCTAAAACGAACACAAAATAATGTTCTCACATGGGTCGTTTCTCTACTAGTTAGTTTCTTTTGGTTGCTCCCTTCTTCAGGAGCAAACTCGCATGTAAGATTTGGCAAATGTTTTACGCTGGATGCCCTTCATGACTCAGCCTGGGCTCGAACCTGCAACCTCAGGATTACAAGACAGCGGCACTGACCACCAAGCTACCGCAGCCCAAGGGTCATTTCTCTACTGACCAACACAAAAGCTAAAAGGTACATAAAATTCTTAGCTCTTTGTTTGTCCAAAACTATATGGAAGAAATATTATGCGTTATTTGTGGACGGGCCAATTGTTAAAAAAATAAGAGCATAAAAATTAAAAAACAGCAAGCTAACAAGGATGTTACTGTTCCTTATTGAATTATTTCATACGTTTACTTGTACTATTTAATAATATTTTTCTTTTAAAATATTACTTTTTAAACTTTGTGGACTTAACCACAAATATAACAAACATTTTTAAGCAGGCCACAATCAATAAAGGCTTTTTACCACAATGTCAGAAATGGCTTTACTGACCAGCCGAACCCATTCCATAGTTCAGGATTTTTATTTTTTTGAAAAACTAATAAATCTGCAATAAGCATCACTAACAAATTAAACAAATGCAAACATTATATATATATATATATATATATATATATATACAGGTCCTTCTCAAAAAATTAGCATATTGTGATAAAGGTCATTATTTTCCATAATGTAATGATAAAAATGAAACTTTCATATATTTCAGATTCATTGCACACCAACTGAAATATTTCAGGTCTTTAATTGTTTTAATACAGATGATTATGGCATACAGCTCATGAAAACCCAAAATGCCTGTCCCAAAAAATTAGCATATCATGAAAAGGTTCTCTAAACAAGCTATTAACCTAACCATCTGAATCAACGACGTAACTCTAAACACCTGCAAAAGATTCCTGAGGCTTTTAAAAACTCCCAGCCTTGTTCATTACTCAAAACCACAAACATGGGTAAGACTGCTGACCTGACTGCTGTCCAGAAGGCCATCATTGACACCCTCAAGCAAGAGGGTAAGACACAGAAAGAAATTGCTGAACGAATAGGCTGTTCCCAGAGTGCTGTATCAAGGCACCTCAGTGGGAAGTCTGTGGGAAGGGAAAAGTGTGGCAGAAAACGCTGCACAACGAGAAGAGGTGACCGGACCCTGAGGAGGATTGTGGAGAAGGGCCGATTCCAGACCTTGGGAGACCTGCGGAAGCAGTGGACTGAGTCTGGAGTAGAAACATCCAGAGTCACCGTGCACAGGCGTGTGCAGGAAATGGGCTACAGGTGCAACAGCGGCAGAAGCGCCTGACCTGGGCTACAGAGAAGCAGCACTGGAGTGTTGCTCAGTGGTCCAAAGTACTTTTTTCGGATGAAAGCAAATTTTGCATGTCATTCGGAAATCAAGGTGCCAGAGTCTGGAGGAAGACTGGGGAGAAGGAAATGCCAAAATGCCAGAAGTCCAGTGTGAAGCACCCACAGTCAGTGATGGTCTGGGGTGCCATGTCAGCTGCTGGTGTTGGTCCACTGTGTTTTATCAAGCGCAGGGTCAATGCAGCAGCTATCAGGAGATTTTGGAGCACTTCATGCTTCCATCTGCTGAAAAGCTTTATGGAGATGAAGATTTCATTTTTCAGCACGACCTGGCACCTGCTCAGTGCCAAAACCACTGGCAAATGGTTTACTGACCATGGTATTACTGTGCTCAATTGGCCTGCCAACTCTCCTGACCTGAACCCCATAGAGAACCTGTGGGATATTGTGAAGAGAAAGTTGAGAGACGCAAGACCCAACACTCTGGATGAGCTTAAGGCCACTATCGAAGCATCCTGGGCCTCCATAACACCTCAGCAGTGCCACAGGCTGATTGCCTCCATGCCACGCCGCATTGAAGCAGCCATTCATGCAAAAGGATTCCCGACCAAGTATTGAGTGCATAACTGAACATGATTATTTGAAGGTTGGCATTTTTTTGTATTAAAAACACTCGTCTTTCATTGGTGGGATGAAATATGCTAATTTTTTGGGACAGGCATTTTGGGTTTTCATGAGCTGTATGCCATAATCATCAGTATTAAAACAATTAAAGACCTGAAATATTTCAGTTGGTGTGCAATGAATCTGAAATATATGAAAGTTGCATTTTTATAATTACGTTATGGAAAATAATGACCTTTATCACAATATGCTAATTTTTTTGAAAAGGACCTGTATATATATATATATATATATATGGCTATTATAGATTAGAAGCGCTGGGCACTGGTCAGCAATCTTTGAAATTGCCCCTTAAAACCACTGTGGACTGTTAGCTTAAATAAGTTTCATATTTTTGTAAAACTGATAAGATATTAAAATCTAGTCTCAAGCACATTACACTTTTTTTTTTAAAAGGTTGATTAGACAAAGACTTATTAGTAAACGGGACAACTATGCAGATGGTGTGTCCATCCCAATCCACGGAGCTTGGAGGAACCGATGGTTATTACAGTTTGCTGTGGAGGGAACACACAGGGATCTGGTGCAGGCGGTTCTCACACTGAACCACTGAAAAACTTTATTGATTAGGTTCTGAAGCTTACAGCTTACAGGACACACTTCACCAGGATACTTTCTCACTGCAGTAACCGTTAAAGGCCTCCAGAGATTCACAAGGTATTTCCTTCACTACTTATGTGATAGGATCACAACATGACAGATCAAAGGTCAGATCACAGCATCTTATCAAAAAATATATACTTTTCTGCCCCACTCCACCCAAAACCACACTTGTACAAATACACTTTCATCTGGTTTTGGACTCTTTGTAAAACAGGCATTGATCATCAGTTATATCTGTGTAACTCAGCAGGGTTAAAGAGCTGGGAGGATTTAAGGTTTTAGTGAAGTCCACATCGAAGGCAGAACAGAACAAATTCATGATGAAATCGTACAAGACAAAACATCTGACACTGATAACTGTTACTGAACACATCAGAGCATAATGTTTTAGCAGGGTAAACCTAAAATTAAACCTTAGTCTTGTAAAAACAATTAAGCGTTAATTGCAATCAATCCCATCTGCACTTTTAATTTTTTAGGGTTTTAAACCAGATCAAAATTGCACAGGAAACAAATTACAATAAATTATCAATACAAGAATAATTTTTACAAATAGCTGTTAAAACACATTTGCCTGAACTACAGCAGGCGACAAAACCATTTCAATATGAAATACAGTCATGTTTAATATTGTTGTCAGGAAAATGCAGCGGGGCAACAATTCAACAGTTAGTCACCTTAACGCATGGAAAAAAAAAGTTTCCTAGATTGTTTTCGCCATTTACTTCTTCTCTTTCAGCCATTATATATTTAAACCGATAAAATTCAAAAACAGTAATAAAACTAGGGTTCTAGGACAGTAACAATTTATGTTAACTGCTTTGGTTTCAAGAAACCCGTCCCAAAAAAGGCATCAAACAACATCAACGTCGAGATTAACAAAAGTGCAGAAAACACAAACTGAACAGAAAATACAACTTGTTGACAGTATGTTCTCGAGAAAGGTGGTTAAAGCCAGATAGAGTGGGAGAAAGAGAAGTGTGGAGGACAGCGTGTTGTTTTTGGTTTGTTTTACATACGGGTCTAGAAGATCCAACCACAGCTGAGTCAGAACGATCACTGCAAAAACAAAACAAACGTAAGAATTCACTGCTGGATCAAATTTACAATTGCAATGTATAGATAGGAGAAAAATAAAATAAGCAAGGAAAGTATTGCTTAAAAATATTTAACATTAACTATGATACACCCTTGTCATATTTTGAATACAATAATGCATTTTAGAAACACGCACACAATGAACGTCCTGCCAGCAGGTTTTACTCCTCCGATCGGAGTGCGTCGAACGATCACTGATGAATGTTTTGGGATGTGTGCGTCATCATCTGTGTATTCTATGAAAAAAAAAAAAAGATACAAAACATCATTAAATCTTGAGCACAAGACTTGGTTATATTCAAAACAACATTTGAGTATTTTCGAAGATAACACTAAAATAAAGACGGATCTAAATGTTCACCCATGGGTGCTGGCTAAGTTTTACTTTTGCCTCTTTGAATCCCAACCATGTAATTAAAATTTGCCATTTCACACAAGTTTAGCATAAAAACCCATTATACATTGGAATCACGTAAACATTAAATGTATAAATAAAGCCATCAGTATGCTTCATATTGACTAACGTCATAAACAAATATGCTTTTTTTAGGATTTAAGTGCATGCTAAAACAAAAACTAGGATTTCAGGTTATAATCCAAGTTGTTTTGGTAAACTAGCCAGAAATTTTAAGGTGTAATCAAGCAGACTAAATTAACATTGGTTCAGTGACCAAAGCAGACTTATAGGCAAAAGTAAAAATTACCCTGGATCTGCCATCTGATATATCCACCACAATTTTTGATTTTAAACTTAATTGCACTAGAGCTCAGAATTTCTACGGTCAGACTAAAAAGATAACACACTAATCCAACAATAGATTAAAGAGGTTAGACTTTATCAACCCCAACTAAAAAACTGGCTTGAAAGATTTTATTTTAATAACCCACAAAACAACTACTGTAATGCAGCTAATATTTATAGCCATATCCCAACTAAAGTGAACCTATTGTCTATTCACATTGTTAAAAAAAAAAGTCTTGAGAGAAGCCAATTATTTACCAGACAATGCAGAAAAGAGCAGAGGTAAAAAAAAAAACATGCAAATCCCACCCAATCAGCTGTATAAGTGGGGAAAATAAGCAATGGATACCCAACACTGACTTTCTAGTTTTTCATTAGCCACATTGTTTATTAGACAAGTTATTTGACTACTTCTAGAGAAAATAATTTTTTTGCTGACCTGTAACTAGGCCTGTCGCAATAAACAAACCAATTAATCTCATTTTCATTGATCGGCTTTATCGTTTCTTCGTCTCTCTTTCTACTGAAGACACTGGATGACAAACAGCTCAACTCCGGTGCTCTTCACTGACCCCTCCTTTTCTCTTTAAAATACGTTTTAACCATCCAAAATTGTGTTTTTGGATCGTTTAAAGCAGCTAAGCTACAAGCTAAGCTAACAGGCCGACCTTGGGACAAAACCTCCGTCTTGTCGAAGCTCACGGTTAAAACATGTGCCTTTGTGTAAAAAGTTGTTTCTCTCTACAAAAAGAAGCTCAGAACTTAATCATTTTTTTATTAAAAGTTTGGTGTGGGAAAAAAAGCTATGCTAAAGAGCTCAAACCACACCAAGCGTCCGCCACGTTGAAAACCGAAGCCCATGTCACGTCAATAGGCCTCCCTCACATTTTTTTGAAACACGCGGCTCACTCCCTCACTATCCATCCTTCAGTTCAAACAGTCTTGTACTGCCATCCAGTTTTCAAAAAACATTTCTTCTTAAATTTGACAATAATTTCTAATTATTGTCAAATTTCAAACAATATTATCTTTTATCGCAATAATTTCTGAGACAATTTATCGCCCAGCAAAGTTTATCATAGTGACAGGCCTACTTGACAGAATATCTTAACATGTTGTAAATAATACTGCATATTAATACAAACATAGCCTGCCAAATGTCTTTACAACCTTAATGAACTGGTGTTAGTAGTTTTAAAGGCATGATGTCAGTGTCTGCAGGTAAAATACCTTCTCGGGTTTGAGCGTTGGTGATCTGCAGGTCGCAGTCTGTGGCCTTGAGGCGTTCTCGGGCCATAATCTGCCTCTTAAGCTCACTCAGGGTGATATGCAGCCCATCAAAAGTGACTGTGTTGTAGTCCAGTTTGGAAGAGAACTTATAGTGAACACACGACATTTTCACAGCTCTAAATAATGTCAACCAAACAGAAGGTTAAAAAGGAACACAGGTCTGTTATTGTGAGAAAATCAAACAGCCTCAACACTGAACACAGGCTAAATGCGGAAACTTTAATTGGAAAACCTTCTTTATATTCGAGGAAACACTTGACAAAGTAAATGCTGAAACAAGCAAAGGTTCAGCTTGCAGATGACGACAGTCTTTATCGTTCATTGCCAAACAAAATGAACGAGATGTGAGGCCAAAGCGCCTGAAGGCACCGTGGACCTCGTCAGTTCTTAAGTCCAATAAGACACACCAGAGTGCGATTAAATCCAAAAGAGTCCATGCAGTAGGATGTGTATTATTATATGGGTGTCAATCTGGCCAAGTCCTTGGTGAAATGTCCTTGATGGAAAGCCCAACCGGCTGCGCCGCAAGGCTTTTCCGAGCAACAGTCCACAATGGTTTGCCTTTTTGATAGTTTTGTAAAAAGAACAGGCAAACGAACAACGAAAAGTCCACAAAACCGTAGGGCAAAAATCCACAAAGAGTCCACAATGTTTATATTACTGCTGTTAGACTTAATAATGTTAATCCAAAACCGTAACGCTCCGAGTAAAACGTGCAAACAGCTAACATGCTACATAGGCCTCACCACATTCTGAAACACTAACGGCCTGACAAAGGCTAACGGCTAGCGAAGCTACGATTAATATCCCACGAAAAGTCGACAAAAATCCAACGATGTACTCAGTCACAAACGAGAAAAACTCCTTGTAACGAAGATTTGTCCACACCAAAATCCGCGAGTTGTCCAGATGATAGTTTAATTTGAGTCTGTAAAATCCATTTCGGTAATCCGAGCTGCTCCTCTTCTCGCTGTTTCATCAAAATGGCGCTGAGCCTGGGCGGAACCGGAAATAAGCTCCACGGAATTTCAACTGTAGAGTTTTACTTTGAAAAACAGCGAGGAACATTTTGTTCATCATTTTATAATCTTCAGTACAGCAGCAAAAAAGCTATTTTTTGTTTGCTTGTTTGTTTTCTTTCTTTCTTTCTTTTATATTTCTGCCCAAATCTAATCTAAAATTTGAGGACTGTGAAAGTGAATGTTTAACCGAATAATCACAATAAAAATATAAAACAACTTACAAAACTGTGGACATACCTTTGATTCATGCCTCATTTTGAAATTTTACTTCCAAAAAAACAAGATTTCTTTCGATTATTAAAGTAGTATTAGAAATATTTATTCAGTTGTGGCGGACACGTCAGAATATAGGCTCTTATTGTGAAAGGGACCGCACTCTATCGTGATCAACGTCGTTTGAAAATGTTCAGATGCTCGGGGTCACCCAGTGGTGGAGAAAGTACCCAGACTCTGTACTAAAGTAAAAGTACAAATAAACAGACAAAAATGTACTCTAGTAAAAGTAGAAGTACCACATTTACGTTTTTACTTAAGTAAAATTATTTGTTTTAAAAATACTTAAAGTATTAAAAGTAAAAGTACTTACTGAATGCATTACCTAATGCAATGGTCTACAATATAATTAAGTGTGCTTACCGTATGTATACTTTCTGTAATACATTAATAGTGTTGAAGCATTTTAATGAACAATGCTGCAGATAATGCATGTTTTTATTGTGTTTACTCTGTGACACAGTTCACACTTGGACTTGTGATTCTGTGCGTCAGAATTTCAGGGATGACATGCAGAGTTAAATGCCATTAAGCAAAATAAGGGGAATGATTATACCTTTGAAAGTTTTTATTTAACACAAAGCAAAATATGTCATTTTAACTGCAGTAAACACATTTAAGTAAAAGTTGTCTGCCTGAAAAAAAAGGAGCATTAGACACAACTAACAAAGGAATAACACTGATCATTTCAACTCCAGTTTGTCATCAACTCTAGTTAAAATACTGTCTAATCAACCTTGTAATGGGTCAATAGTGAACAATATTTTAACTTCCTGACACCATTTTCAAAACTTGGACCTGATGAGTGTCGAGTCATTTGGAGACATCTCTTGTCTCCTAACATCATGAACTGACACATTTTAATATTGCAGCAAGAATTTCTTGTTCAGGTTCAGAAGAAGTTGGTTGTCAAAGTTTTTTGAGTCCAGTCTGGCTCTTCTGGGAGAGAGAATCTGTCCTGCTGTACTGAATAGTCTTTCAATAAGGCCATGGGTGGTGCGTATCTTCTGGTTGACTCTCCGAAGTGTAAACCATTTTGGGTGTGTTAGCAGTGCTGCGGGTGCACCCAGCTCAGTGACGTATATACTAGAATATACATCACTGGACCAGCTCTTCTTGAAGAAAGGTCTAACGTTACCTGCCCACTTTCCATTGATTCAATGGACTAACTCCCCTCTCACCACTGGTTACTTTCAAACTAACGAACAAATCAAAAAAACATAATGTGAATAACGTGTAACGCAACCATTATAGAAATGAAGTGTAGTAGAAAGTACATATATTTAATGTAAAATGTAGTGGAGTAAAAGTCCAAAGTACCCACGTTTAACTCTATTTAAGTAAAGTACAGATACATGAAAAATGTACTTAAGTACAGTAACGAAGTACTAGTTACATCCCACCATGGGGTCGTCAATGTCAGCGGAAAGAGGCAAAAAATATTTTCAGTCTCGCTTTATTCTCCACATCTTCCAACATCAAAATTAGAAAAACGATGGACTACAACCGTCGGTCTTCTCTTACATTCTGTCCCTTTCACTAAAACAACCTACATTCTTGCGTGAAATATATATGTTTGTGCCCGCCGCATAGTCTTGTTTTTAGATTAAATGTATATTTATTTTATTTTTATTTATTTATTTGGCTTGTTTGTTTTTGCATGTGTTTTTTTCCCATTCATTCAACCTTTATTTAGACAGGTAAATCCCATTGAGCCTCAAGGACTCATTTACAAGAGAGACCTGATTTCAACAAAGAATGATGACAATGGAAAGAGAAGTGGATTTGTCTGTATTTTTGTTCAGCTAATTAGCACTGATTTAAACATTATAATGTATCCTGAATGAATAAACCATTGTTGTGTGGATGTGTAACCAATGACTTCAAAAATAACTATGTTTAATTAAATCTTTATTCACTTTATACCAACATATCACAAAGACACAATTTGTTTTCATTGTTTTAGTTTAATCTGTAAAAAAAAAAAAAACCTCTGTGGTTAGAGTTGTCAACCGGTGTCTCATGTCGATGTCTCTGTGCAAGACACTGAACCCCTCATTGTCTCAGATGTGTCCCACTGGTGAATGAATAAGATCTAAAGCACTGATTAGTCCATGTACAATGATTTATTGAGATTAGCTTTGTAGCTTTATGAATGGGTAAATGAGGGCACAGTGTGTTGTAAAGTGCTTAGAGTCCTGGTTGCTAGAAAGGTTGTATAAGTACAATTCATTTACAATTTGCCAGACACAAAATACAATGTTAGAATCAAGAAGATGTACCCCAAAGAGCTTTTGGCTGAAAACTTGTCTCTCCACACGATTTACTGAATGACCTATCTCTCAGGCCTTTGCTAATTTTTCTTAAATACATAACTTTCATATGCAGTTCAAGCGCTGTATATATATATATATATATATTTAGGATTTCTTTTGTTTTCTACTTGCCCACTTCCCGTTATTTCAAACACATGATGCTGTCATGGTCAGGTAGAAAATAAACAAAGAATGAATGAAACATCAGCCCAAGTCCAAAGGGAAAAATTCAAAGACCTTCAGAAAGGCTGACAAACTATTGTCTGATTCGTGGGAAGCATTAAATATACTTCTAAGGCGCTAGTATAAAGAAATTACAAGTGGTTGAAAATCTTTTGCACACTACTGTTCATAGTGTTTTAGGAATATTAGACAGGAGGACTGAACCCCATCTCTAATAGGATTTTTTTCATAATTTTTTTTGACTCTCACGATGTTAAACTCCTCTGAACAGACACAGTGAAACAGGAAATCAACTTGAAGTCATTCTCAGAGTTCAAAATATAAGCTCAACAAATATGGTGGTGCTGTTGGTTATTTAGTATGTTATAGATTTGAACGTCTGAATGTTGCCATTGCCATGGTAACAGTCCAGGTCTCTCGGCCTTCCTGCTGTTTTGCTGATGTACAGGATGTCCTTTATTGTTGTTTGTCCTGCTCACCGTCATCTGTAACACAGCTCGTATGTGCATGTTCACGCACAGGAAAGCCTTGATTTTTTTTTTCTGACGTCAGTGGTCTAAAAAGCTTTTCATTTAATTCATTCATTATATTTACATATGCTCAGACACACATTTAGAACAACAGACTTGGTAAGCTCTAATGCATTTAATGGGGTTTCGATTTTTAGCATGTGGAACCAAAAAAAAGAAAGAAAGAGGACACGATTGTGTCACTGTCAGGTGTCTATTGTTTAGCCTGCAATACTCACACAGACACAATAAAAATTGTTGGAGCTCTTTTAGTTTATCGTAACAAACAAATTCACAGCAGCATTGATGATCACAATAAAGGGGAACTTCCAATCACTTGAAGTGGGATTCTGTATAAAGGTTATGAACAATTAGTATCTTACCTGTTGTAGATAGCTTTTGAATGACAATTTTGAGAAGTAGAGTTTGTAACTGAATTGATCAGCTAGTGGATAATATGAGCAAAGCAAAGACCAAAGTAAAGTGCTATGATCTTAAAACGACTCCCATCTTAAAACAAATCAAAGCAGTTCATGTGAACATTATTAAAAAATAAAACCTTTAGAGTGGATTACACAATTCTTTACTTATAAATCTGTGGCTAATTCCTGGCAAAAATAGAGGCAACAGCTAGTTGTAGTATTTCCAGTGCAGCCTAAGACGCCTACAGCACTGAAAAAAAATAAAAAAATTCGGCAAGAATAACTTTGTAATGTGAAACTGATGTAATGTTTTATAAAATAGCATTTGGATGAATAATTGCGAAATTTTTAAGACTGGAAGTGTTTTAAGTCAGAATTAATCCACTTAAATTTTGATCCCGCTCAGACTAGGCATTAACTCGTCATTCTGGTTAGAATTAAACTCTGTTTCTGTAAACTAAGACAAAGTTTACATGTGAATGATCTCTGAAGACATTTGTGTTCTTTCAACATTTGTTGTGGCAAATCAATATTGTTAAAACCCATTTACATGGATATTTCTGTGCTTGATTAATCCGCTGTAGTTTCAACGCCAGGCAGGGTTGCCAGATAGGAAATTGCAAACTATCATTCTTTAACATTATAAAATTTTGACGCAAACCATCGTATGTGCTGCGTGAGGGTGCACTTTCTTGGATATGTATTGTGATTGATGAGCATGAGCACAGAAAAGGAAGGGGGCTAGATCTTAACACTATCCATTAAAAACAATTATTGTATATCTGGCAATGCTAATACCAGGTTTGCAAAGAGACATGTATGCAGTCTCCAGCATTAAACAGTTGCATCCAAAATTGTGAATGCATGACCATTCATTTGGACCAATGAGGATGGGTCACTCCAAAAAAAGTTTTTTGTAAAGTCAGCCATAGTAAGACAGAGTACATGTGTGTGAATGAGAGGGAAGCCAGTGGAACAGTGAGGCTACAAGGAGCAGAGGTCACAAAGGTGCAGGACTTCAAGTACTTGGGGTCCACTGAACAGGAAAATGGGGAATGTGGTAAAGAGGTGAAGAAGAGAGTCCAGGCAGGATGGAGTGGATGGAGAAAAGTTTCAGGAGTAATTTGTGACATAATAGTGTCAGCAAAGGTCAAAGGAAAAGTTTACAAACAGTGGTGAGACCAGCTACATTGTATGGTCTGGAAACAGTGGCATCGACAAAAAGACAGGAGAAAGAACTGGAAGTGGCAGAAATGAAGATGATGAGGTTCTCTTTAAGAGTGACAAGGATGGATAAGATTAGAAATGAGACCATCAGAGGTACAGCACAGGTTGAACAACTGGGAGATGAAGTTAGAGAGACCAGACTGAGATGGTTTGGACATGTCCAGAGGAGGGACAGTGTTAGAAAGGACATGGACAGAGGATGCAGAGGACAGAGTGAGATAGAGGAGGATGGCTCGCTGTGGCAACCCGTTAAGACAGAAAAGCCGATGGAAGAAGAAGAAGAAGAAGAAGAAGAAGGAGGCTGGGTCATTCCTTCATGTTGAAAAGGGTGAGTAGCACAAACAGAACTCTGCTATCCACCATTGTTAATATTCTTCATGTACTGACACAAGCACAGACAAACTATTGACCACAGCTATCCATAGTGCATGCACACAATTTTACACCACGGTGTGTGTGTGTGTGTGTGTGGGGGGGGGGGGGGGGGGGGTGTCCCCAAAAACCTCCACTTTGAGACCTGGATTTTAAAAAGCTCTGGTTTTAGAGAAAACAAGGGTTGTTGTCATGTACATGAATGGCAGCAGAAATGCCACGGTTTCATTCAAAACAGTCGTTGTGTAAACTGGGCCTAAGGCTCTTCAAAAAGCTATCTACAGCTGTACATCTGGTTGGTTAACTGTTCATAACCTTTTCATGGGACACCACTATAAAAATCAGAAAACGTGTTTCACTTCCTCACTGGGGTTCCTCTTCTCTCAGACTGGAGTGGTTTTTCGGCTGGACACACAGTTACCCAGCAGGATCTCTGTGTTGTTGTGAGGAGCTACAGTTATCAGATCATTCACAGCCATGGGAATATTACTGTCTTTTAGAGGTGATGCAATGGTGTACAGCAGGAACTCTGAACTCACAGTCTCTGGTGGGGATAAACCTGTCATGTCAGCAACTTTAGACTGAACAGAGATGGGGGACTCTTGGTCACATCCCAAAGGAGTTGCATAGGCGTGTGCATCTGAGTCCCCCGTGCTGTGGTTGCTCCTGTAACTGTAGCGGCAGCTGCGATTCTGGAAGGAACGGTTGCGGTAATAAGAAGAGTTTCTGGAGATGGGAGGCTTCACAAGCGAAGGCCGGCCTTTGGTGCGCAGCTGCCTGTGTTTTTCTATGAACACATGCACTGCCAAGACGCCCACCATCTCGGCCAGCACAAAGGACAGAGCTCCAAAATAAAAGGACCAGCCATAGGAGTAGCTCTTCTTGTTGTCACTCTGACTTGGATCACCTGAGTTGGCTGATATGTACACGATGATGCCAATGATGTTACTGAGACCTGAGCAGAGGTTTAGAGAAAGAAAGAGTTAAAGTGATAGTTCAAATCTGTTGAAATGGGGTTCTGTGGAGAGTTCACGGTTATGGAATGGATATATTATATCACACAGCAGCAAAAGTGCTAAGAAAAACATTTCTTGTAGCTACAAGTGTGGCTACTAATAACACAGCTATAAGTTGTTGATAGTCATGTAGATTTGTGTAGCCTATTAATATCTTACCTGCTGTAGATAGCTCTTTGAATGACCTCAGTTTGGAATAAGGTTAATTTGAAAGAACTGACAAGTGAAGCTCTCGACCTTGACCTCTCTAAGTGGCTTTAAGAATCTGTTGGACTCCTGGCAGGGACCAATGCAGACATGTTCCTGTTTTTAGTTTTCTACATTTGCCTTGGAATTTAGCTGTTTTTGTTACTTTTCTTTTTTTAGCCATCCTATTTGTAAAAAAAAATAAATCTATATGACTTTTTATAACTGTTTATTGTTGTCGCTGTTGTCCATTGTTGTCATCATTCTTTGTTGAAACCAGGTCTCTCTTGTAAATGAGTCCGCGAGGCTCAATGGGATTTACCTGTCTAAATAAAGGTTGAATGTAGGGCCAAGACCAACGGGGATTGCTGCTATTGTTGTTTTCTTTCTTTCAGTTGCTCCCTTCTTGAGGGGTCACCACAGTGAACTAAGTGGCACGAAGACTTGGCAATTATTTTTACGCCGGATGCCCTTCCTATTGCAACCACAGACCACTGAGCTACCACAGCTTTCTGTGTGGAGCAGAGAGCTGCTATCTAGGGCGTCTGGGGGAGCAGATGGTGGGGGTTAAGGGCCTTGCTCAAGGGCCCAGAGTGGGGCAAATGAGGGAGGAGACAAGTGTGGGTGCTTCATCTCTCCTACTCACATTTTGATGTTGTCGGTACTGGGAGTTGAACCGGCGATCTTTTGATCACAGGCCCACTTTCTCTAACCTCTGTGCCACCACTCCCACGAACTGCTGCTATTGTAAAACCCTAAAAAGAAAATTGTAGCAGTTTATGCAAATGCTATTTGTTAAATGTCATTGCTGTTGGTTTCGTAATAAAGTTGTTTACATTCACTTCAAATAGTGCAGCAGCAGCTAGCTAAAGCTAGATAGCACCGGTAGCTGTTTCATCAAAAATAACATAACATTTCTGCCAACATAATGGTGTATTTTACAAGTGACAACAGTGTAAAAGTTTAAAAAATAATGTTGAGATAAAACACTATGAAATCTTTGAGACTGGAGGTGTTTGGGCAGCACACCTCATCCCAAAAAAAATGTCCCCTGGGCTCTTTCAATAGCTGCCCACTGCACCACCTGGTGATGGATGGGTTAAATGCAGAGACTAATTGCGCCATTGTATGGAAACATACAGCGATGACAATGTGATGACATTATTGTTATTATTATTATTATTATTATTTAATACGGCAGCAATCCTCTTTGGTCTTGGTCCTGCTCGAATTAGCTTTTAGCTTCTCAGTCCAATCAAAACTGAAATTTAATCCTCCAAACTGAAGTCATTCAAACAGCCATCTACAAATACATAAGATGCTGAACTATTGTTTAAAGGATTTAGCTGAAAACTGATGATAGTCAACTATTAAAAACATGGACATCACAAACTTTAAAAAAAAACTGAGTACTAATGCCCATAAACAGAACGGTAGAAACAACCCTATCAAAACAAAGAGGAAGTTACAATTGACAATTTCAGTAAATTGGTTTCTAAGAGAAACAATAACTCAGGATCTCAGATAAATAATGTTAAATTATTATTTTATATGTGAATGTTTCTGTTCAATGCCCTGAGATGACTTCTGTTGTGACTTGGTGCTATATAAATAAACTGAATTGGATCTGAGCACACAAAACATTTTATGCACAACAATTACATTTACAGTACATTCAACTTAACTTTTGGTAGGTCGGTTGTTCATTCATTCATTCATTCATCCTCTTTACCCGCTTCTTCCGTGTTGAGTTGCGGGGGTCACTGGTGCTCATATCTAGTAGTCACTGTTTAAGAGGCGGGGGACACCCTGGACAGGCCACAAGTGCATCACAAGGACACGTAGAGACAAACGAGACAATCATTCACGCTCTCACTCACACCTGGGGACAATTTAGAGTTACATGCATGTTTTTGGTCTGTGGGAGGAAAACGGAGTACTTGGAGAAAACCTATGCATGCACGGAAAGAACATGCAAACTCCACCCAGAAAGGTCCTGGGCTGGAGTTTGATCCAGCAACCTTCTCGCTGAGAGGCAACAACTTTACCAACTGTGCCACCGTGCCGCTCCGTTCAAGCATCTTGCCAAAAAAATATATAGTACTATACTTTAGATGCACTTATTTTGGCTGAGCAAGTTGGTAATAAAAGAAAGTTTGCTGTTGAATTCTGTGCAAATCTTGTTACTGACCTGCAGAAACAAAGAGAATACCAGCGCTGAGAATGACGTTGTGCCGTGACTTGTAGAACTCGCTGGCAGCTACACACAATCCTCCAAGAAACAGTAACCCCACACTGAGGATTGGGAAGAGGCTAGAAGCTCGAACTGCTCCTGAACAGAGGAGAATTAAAAGCATTTAAATTAGCAAGATCTCTGTCACAATTCTCAAATTTCGCTGTTGAATAAGCCCATTTCTCACTCACGTAGCAAATACTCTGCAGCATCCTGCTCGTAGTCTGCATCATCAGGAAAATGATCGATGTGTTTGCAGACACCTCGAAATATTCCTACAAAATACCAAAAAAAGACAGATTTGTTAGCATGCAGAGTATGTGCTGACTGAAGATTAGAATCATAATCACTTTTATTGGCCAAGTTTGTGTGCACAGACAAGGAATCTGACTTTGGTTTCAAGTGCTCACAGCGTCCAGACATGTAACTTAAACTTATAGGATAAAAGAAACAGTATGTACATATATTAGTAGATACAGCCCTTATTTTAAATACACTGGATGAATAGAAAAAGAAGACAGGTTGTGGTAGTACAAATATGCTTATTAATTGTTTCACAGCAGAGCAGCTGATTACTACCACGCAACAGTGTCAAATAGTAGTAGTCATGGTGTTTATTGAGCTCATCAGAGAGATCGCCCTGGGGGAAGGAACCATCTCTGTGACGACTGGTTTTTGCAAATGTGCTCTGTAGTGCCGACCTGAGGGTAAAAGTCTGAACAGTTTGTGTCCAGGGTGTGTGGGGTCTGCAGAGATGTTACCAGCATTTTTCCTGATCCTAACCCTGTACAAGTCCTGGATTGAGGGAAGGTACAGCCCTGATGATCCTCTCTGCAGACCTGATTGTTTGTTGCAGTCTGGACTTGTCCTGTTCTGTGGATGGGGCAAACCACACAGAAATGTATGTGCACAAAACAGACTGAATAATGGCTGTATAGAAGATGACCAGCAGCTCTTGTGGTAGGTTGTGCTTCTTGAGTTGGCATAGGAAGTGATGTTTCTACTGGGTTTTCCTCTGAACAGTGTCCATGTGTGGGGACCATCTCAGGTCCCAAGAACGAGTGGTTCATAGGAACTGGAAGTGACCCACAGTAGACATAGTGTTGTTGAGGATGGTGAGGGGAGACATATGGGGGGAGGGGAGGGGGGTGCTTTTTCGGAAGTCCACTGTCATCTCCACAGTCTTGAGCAGGTTAAGCTCCAGGTGGTTCTGACGGCACCAGTGGACCAGCCAATCCACCTCCTGTTTGTACGCAAACTCGTCATTGTTCTGTATCAGACCAATAACAATGGTGTCTTCTGTAAACTTCAGAAGTTTTTCAGAAGTCATTTGTGTACATAGAGATGAGTAGTGGGGAGACAACACACCCCTGTGGAGCACCGGTGCTGATGGTTCTCATGTGGGAGAAGATGCTCCACAGCCTAGCCTGCTGCTGCCGGTCAGTCAGGTCAGCTGATGATCCACCATCATGTGGAGGCCAGGTAAGCTTTTGATGGAGAATGTCTGGGTTGATGGTGTTGAAGGTTGAGATGAAGTCCTCAAACAGGATCCTGATGTATATCCCTGGGTGGTCAAGGTGGTGTAGGATGAAGTGTAGTCCCAGATTGACTGCATCATCTGCTGACCTGTTTGCTCGGTAAGCAAACTGCAGATGGTCCAGCAGGGGACCTGTGATGTCTTCAGATATTTCAATACCATTTGTTCAAAGGATTTCATGACCACAGGCATCAGGCAACAGGTCTGTCGTCGCTGAATCCTGTTATGGTACATTTGTATATTCCTTGGGGATCAGGATGATGGTGGAATGCTTGAAGCAGGAGGGAACCTCACACAGTTCCAGATACTTTTTTCTTTCAACCTTTATTTAGTCTCATTGAGCCATGAGGACTCATTTACAAGAGACACCTGTTCCAGACAGAACATTCAGACTTATTGAAGATCTGAGTGAAGATGGGGGCCAGTTGGTCAGCACAAGATTTCAGGCAGAAGGGGTCAACTCCATCAAGTTCTAGAAGTTTCCTGGTCTTCTGATGCTGAAAGAGACTATTTACATTCCTTAGGGATCTTAAGTGCAGGTAGAGGGGAGAGGGGAAAGTATGGGCTGAAACTTGGGCCACCAGAACTGAACAAACAAGAACAAACACAGGACAATCAAATGTTTTAAGCCAGATGGCCAACTTGCTACTCTCAGAAACAGCCTGAGGACTGTCAAGGCTAAAGTGGTTCAGAAAAAGATCAACCAGTTTTACAACCCTTTTTCTAAACCACTTTGGCCTTGGTTGTCTCAGCCTGTTTCTGTGAGTAGCAAGTTGGCCATCTGACCCCAAACATTTGATTGTTGTACATGATGATTGATGGTTTTGGATGGGTGTTTTGCACATGTTAAAAGACTACTTCAGAGATTCCAACAGGAAATTGACTTTAAACACAGCAGTGAAGGCTACTTATGGGACAGATCTGGTTGGCAGGCCGTAGACTGAGGAAGTCCTCTGGATGGGGGACGAAATGATTCTCACTTAAAGAAACTGGTCCAGGTGACATGATTTAATCTTTTTTGTTGTGGTCCAGAGTGTTTGTGTCTTTGGTGGGACACTTTACATGCCGTTTGCATTTTGATAGTTCATTGGAGAGGTTTGCGCTGTTAAAATCCTCACGAACAATCATGAGAGTCTGGGTGTTTTTTCCTCCACATCTGTATCAGCCCAGTGAGCTGTTTTTCAGTCTCTGATGTGCAGGCTTGTGGTGGAATGGTAACAACAGCCAAAATAAACGGAGAGACCTCCCTCTGTGAATAGAAAGGTTTACAGTTGATAAAAAATGACTCCATGTGAGGGCTGTATGTCTTCCATAACAGTGAGACATCAGTACACCGACCTTTGTTTATGCAAAAACAGATTACACCCCCCCCCCCCCCCCCCCGCACTGCGAGCTGCTTGAGACAGATGGAAGTCCGGCATCTGACGTACACAGACCGGGACAAGTTCACTGAGCCAACTTTCGGTAAAGCAGAGAAAGGAAGGTCTGCAGAAGTCAGAGTTTCTTGTGCTCACAAGGAATAAATAGCTCATCCATTTTATTCACCAGGGAGCGGAGGTTGGCCAGACAAGTAGAGGGGAACGGAGCGCACAGTCCCCTCTGTTGGAGTTTGATAAGCATGCCTGCATGTTTCCCCTCATCTATGTCTACAGTAAATCCCACGGAGAGCTGCTGTGCCAGGGTCTCAGAGAAAAACTCAGGATCAATGAAAATTGGAGTGAAATGTCCCAAAGACTGCCTGGTTGATTAGGAGTTGCTCTCTGGTGAAAGTGACTGTAGTATAGCAGCAAATAACCATGGAAAAACAGAAAAAATCCCTGCAAAGTATGAGCGAGCAAAATACAGAGGCAGCCATCTGCGGCACCTTCTTAGCAAGATGACTCTCAGCTTTTACCACACTATAGTTTATTATATGTAAATTAAACTAAAGTAATTTATTCTAAGATCACTTATTTGAGGCAACCATCTTGAATTGGATTCACTCAAAAAGGTATTTTGTTGTGGATGTACATTCAGCAAATACTTCTCGAGAGTTTTATTAAAACTGACCAGTGGCTCATGAGATATTTTGCTAACTAGTGCACATTTCATTTGTATTGTTTCTTTGTTTGTTTTTTCTTTGTGGTCAAGCTACAGCTGAATGAATGAGTTGATGCTCTGGTAACCATGACAATGGAGCCACACCATCAATACTGGTCAATGTGCGGCATGCAGGGATAAACATCAATATATTCCTGTTTGTAAATGTGAAAGACACAGCTGGGCTCACTCATGGCTGAGCTTTGATTCATTGTTGACTCTTATTCAAATATATCAGAGAAACCATGTTACAGGCATGTGTAAACATGTGTACTGATTTTTAACCAGTACAGGCAAAAGAGAGCACATTACACCAGTTTTGGCCTCACTGCACTGGTTACCGGTTCACTTTCGAATCCAGTTCAAAATACTGCTGTATGTCTACAAATCGCTGAACAGTTCCCCCCCCCTCCCCCACCATCTCTCTGATCTGCTACAACTGTATGTCCCACCACGTTCCCTGAGGTCAGTGGACCAGTTGCTCCTCACAGTTCCAGGAACTCGTCTTAAGCGCAGAGGTGACAGGGCCTTCTCTGTAGCAGGACCAAGACTTTGGAACGAGTTACCTCTGCTTGTCAGACAGGCCCCCTCCCTCTCGGTTTTCAAGTCCCGTTTAAAAACTCACTACTATTCAATAGCTTTCAACACCAGATGATCTGTGTTTTGATCCTGTATGCTCCACACTGGTTAGTCGTCATTATCTGCATCGTTTTTATGTCTATATTCTGATTTACCTCATTTGTATTTTGCTTTGTGTGTTACCTGTTGTTTTGTCTGTACAGCACTTTGGTTGGCCTTGTCACTGTTTTAAGTGCTTTATAAATAAAGTGGTATGGTATGGTACAGGCTGCATTTCATACAATCAATTTAGTATGAACTCCAATGTTTACTCGGTACTGGAAAATACCAAAGTATGTTTACTCAAGTACTTTCCTTCCTTCCATGCCATTTACTGTTTTAGTGCCACTTTTTAACCCAGCTGCATTCCTTTATTCTATTATGCAGCTACTGCATAAAATTCAAACCTATTCAAGCCAGCTCTCTGTGGATAACCTTTTGCATGTGTAAAGCTAGTTTCTGGGAATTCCAGAGGGCTGGCTTGAAACACATCAAGGAGGTGCTATTTATAAGACAGATCTGGGTTGGCAGGCCTCAGACTAATGAAGTCTTTCGGATGAAAAACAAAATGTTTCTCCCAAAAAGAAATGGTCCAGATGACATGATTCAACCCTTTTTTGTGACTAAGTTTAACTTCTTTCTGCTGTTCTCTCTTCAGGGATCATCCCAAGTCAGCATCCTCCATCTCTCTCTGTCCCCTGCATCTTCTGTCCTCACTCCAACTACCTCCATGTCCTCCTAAGTGTATTCACATATCTCCTTTTTGGTTTTGGTCTTTGTCATTTTCCTGTCAGCTGCATTTTTAACATTCTTCTACTAATGTACCAACTATCCTCTCTGACCATCTCCTACAGAGGTGGAAAGAGTACAGAAAATTTGTACTCAAGTACAAGTATTGTTACACTGCTTAAATTGTACTCATTTACAAGTAAATGTACTGGTGATATAAAAATACTTAAGTAAAAGTATAAAGTACTCTTCTCAAAAACTACTCGGAGTATTAATTATTTTTTAACCATATAATGTTTTATTGTGTTGTCAATATAAGACATTCAGTTCAATTTACTGTATATAATAGTTACATTCAAAGCATATTTCTCAAATACTCAAAAGCTGTCTTATTTTAGTACCAGTTAAACCAATGGCAGTGACAATATCTAAGATCTTTGCATACTTAGCCAAACTAATAACCCACACATACAAATAATAAAAAAATATATCATACAGGTAGCTTTGAAACCTCATATACCACAATATGTTTTTTGAGGGTAGATGCTGAAGTCTTGTAAGCTGCTATCACCATAGAGATCAAATAAAGTTTGCATCTGGATGCTGTCTCCTTTTCACCCTCTGTACATGAAAAATTCCTCCAGGTACGACCACGGCACTCGTCCTCAGCCTTTCTCCTCATTTTCTCTGTTGACAGTTTGTCCTCTGTCTCCATTTTGGCTTTTTCTCCAAATCTTCGGTCCATAATTGACTCTACTCTACGGAGTTATCCATTACTTATGTCATAGGTAATTGGTGCGTTCACAATCTGAGAGCCTTATTGGCTACAAAGATGCAGATGAACGGTTTGAATATTAATTCAATATGTAGCTGTACTCAGTAGCAACTTCAGATTTTAAAAGTAGCGAAGTAGATTACATGGTCGAAATTGTACTCAAGTATGAGTAAAATTACACACTTGAAAGAAATAATCATAAAAGTACAAGTACCAAAAAAAAATCTACTTAATTACAGTAATGTGCGTATTTGTAATTTGTTACTTCCACCCCTGATCTCCCAGTTGTTCAACCTGTGCTGTACCTCTGATGATCTCATTCCTAATCTTCTCCATCCTGGTCACTCCCAAGGAGAACCTCAACATCTTCATTTTTGCCACTTCCAGTTATTTCTCCAGTCTTTTTGTTAATCCCACTGTCTCCAAACCATACAACACAGCTGGTCTCACCACTGTCTTGTAAACTGTTCCTTTGAACTTTGATGCCACCCTTTTATCACAAATCACTCCTAACTTTTCTCCATCCACTGGACTCTGTTCTTCACCTCTTTACCACACTCCGCATTTTCCGGGACAATTGACCCGAGTACTTGAAGTCCCTGCAACTTTGTGACCTCTGGTCCTTGTAGTCTCACTGTTCCACCTGCCTCCCTCTCATTCACACACACACTCTGTCTTGATATGGCTGAATTTCATTCCTCTTCTTTTAAGTGCATGCCTCCACCTCTCTGAGTTCTCTTCCACCTGCTCCCTGTTCTCACCACAGATCACAATGTCATCTGCAAACGTCACACTCTTAAGTTTAACATTTGTGGTAAAATCTAAAAAAAAAAAAAAAAAGATAAAACTTTAATTGCAATTGTGTAAAAGACAATGAAGATATCAACTTGTCTTATCCAGCAGTCCCATCCTTTACTCCTCTCTCAAACCATTGTTCCTCTCTATCCAGAATGTGATCATCTTCATCCCTGAAAGAGTGACCGCTGGCCTGGAGATGAGTGTAGACCGCAGAGTCCTGGCCTGATGATGTTGATCTTCTGTGCTGGGCCACCCTTGTGGCCAGTGGCTGTTTAGTTTCCCTGATGTAAGACTGATCACAGCCCTCCGGACACTGAACAGCATATATGATATTACTCTGTTTGTGCCAGGGGACTGGATCTTTGGGACAAATCAGTCTTTGCCATAATGTATTTTGGGGTTTAAAAGCCACTGGGATGTCATGTCTAGAAAATAAACATCTCAGTTTCTCTGAAAGTCCTGCAACATACGGAATGACCACTGGTCAGGGTTCCTCCTTTTCACCTTATGGCTGACTGGAGTCCTGTTTGGGTTTCTTCTCTGCTTTCAGGAAGGCCCAGTTAGGATATCCATATTGCTCTATAGAGCCTGTCTTGTGTGGGATTCCTCCTTCTCCCTGGCTCCTGTCCTGAGTACTGGTCTGCAAGTATTGATCTGCACTGGTCCGTGAAACCCACCCACACAGACTTGCAGTTCGAGTCCCATCACCCTCTGGAGCACAAGTTAGGAGTCATCAGGATTCTGTACCACAGAGCAGACAGTGTTCCCACTACCTCAGGAGCCAAGCAGAAGAAGAAATCCCACACAAGACAGACCCTGGAACAACTTTATAAATATTGTGTGAATAAATAAAAATAGTGTATGACTAAAGAAACGTGTCTGAGTCTATGATAAGTCCCTCAACCGGCTTGTGAATTTTCATTATTCAAACTGACACGTGTTAGGTCGCCTCTCCATGAAAGCTTTTTATAGTACAGTCAGTGAGACTGCAGCAGACGGGTGTGAAGAACATGATCATAACTAGAGGACAGATGAAATTAAAAGTAAATATTTATTAAGTAAAATCAGTGAAGAATTTGGAAGTGTCAGGAAAATATGGTGCTATCAAAAAACAATGATTTAAAACTAAACTTCCATCTAATCCTGATCCAGGACTTAATATGTTTTTCATATGAAATTTTCTCTTCAGTTAAACAATAAATAAATGCACCTCAGACAAAATGTTATAGGATGAGAGTTTAAAGAAACTGAACTAAAATGTGATGTGGTGGTAGCTCAAAGTCATCACTCTTACTTTGAGCATGAATTGAAGGAGAGAAAACTTTGCACTTTAGCTGATTTTGTCTGTCTGTTAGCAAACTATCTTGTGAAACACTAGATAGATTTTAATGAAACATTTAGAATGGTGGTTCCCAACCCTGGTCCTTGAAGAACACCATCCTGCAAGTTTTAATTGTTTCCCTGCTCCAGCACACCTGATTCAATGATTTAATTACTTCCTCGTGTTCTGCAGAAGCATGTTAATTACCCATTAATTAAAATCAAGTGTGTTGGAGCAGAGAAACGACTAAAACAATCAGGATGGTGTTCCTCAAGGACTAGGGTTGGGAACTCCTGGTTTAGAAAATACATACATATTTTTCGGACTATAAGGTGCACCGGATTATAAGGTGCATTAAGCAAAACAAGTTCATTTTGACAGATTTTAGAGCACCGTGTACAGTAGTCCTTTGCTACTTCGCAGTTTGTTTATGTCTGACTCGCGCTATCACAGTTTTTTCAAAATAAGACTGGACATGACACACAATTGGCTGACTGATGGATGAGCCGCACAATCGGTGTGGGATTTTTATTTAAAACAAATTATTTAGCATCTGCTGCACCTTTGTGCAGCCCATACTGCAGGATAAGCTTCCTACTGCAGCTGTTCTCCGTGCACAGCAGAGAAGTGGGCGTGGCCAAGAGCGCTTGCAGGTGGCAAAGAGCAGAGGAGGCAGGGAGCTGCAATCATGACATTCTGTGCTCTTTTAGAGCGTTTAGAGTTTAGAAACATTGTTTAGAATATTACAAGAGCATGCTTTGTGGTTTTTCACTTATCTTCAGGGTACGGATCCCCCGCTATAAACGAGGGACTACTGTACCACATAAAAATCGGTTTGAGGTCAGTAAGCACAACCAGATTTAATACATAAGGCTCACCGTTGATTTCTGAGAAAATCTAAGGATTTTAAGTGCGCTTTATAGTCCGAAAAATAAGGTAATCATTGTAAGTACATGGATTAACTTTTGGAGTCAATCCAATTCAAGATGGCCACCAAAGCTGATCTGCAATACCTAACAAAAAATATAATTAACAGGTAACAAAGTTCTTGCTCAATCATCCAGGTACCAAATCCAATCATTCTCAGTCAGGTCATCTGGACAGTTTATTTTTTATAGAGACGTTTCGCTCTCTATCCGGAGGGCTTCATCAGTCTGAGGAGTTCCAGGAAACTGTTTCCCCAAGCAGTAAACTCCTTAAGTGGATTGACCAGTTTGCTGGAGCTAAGATGGTTTCTGGGGGTGTCCTGTTCCTCGTTGACTCCTCCCAGGCAGGCAGCCACAGCCAAAGTGGTTCAAGGCAACAAAGTTCATGCTCAGTCATCCAGGTACCAAATCCAATAATTCTCAGTCAGGTCATCTTGACAGTTTCTTTCTCTTCTGACTGATGAAGTCCTCCGGATAGAGGGCGAAACGTCTCTTTAAAAAAAAGAAACTGTCCAGATGACCTGACTGAGAATTATTGGATAATTAACAGGTAGTTTTTACAAACGAGATAAGATTTGGTGTGGTAGTAGCTGAGAGTCCTCCCATTTGAGTGTTCACAGATCTGGCTATAGGTTTGACAAGAATCAGATTTATGATATTATTTCTTTCCCCCATATCTTTTAAAAAGTTTAACTTTTTACTTTGTGAACGCAAACACATGACACGAGCATGATTTATTGTTAAAACCGAATCTGCATAAAACTGTGTTCTGTGATGCTTTGAGTGGGTCTCCTGGTCTGTTGGGGGAGCTGATCAGAGTAGACCTTACCCTCGGTGCAGCAAGTCCTCCACAGGCCGGAGTGGGTCAGAACCTCCTCGTTCTTGTGGAGCGTCTCGTTGTCGTTCAGGTTCTTGGAGCGGCACACCCCACGCGAGTACAGCCAGTAGTCGGTGCCCACGGCGATGGTCATCAGGCTGAAGGCACAGAAGGCCCCCGCCGTGGTGAGGAGCATCATCACCCCTCTGTTGCAAACCCTCATCCTGACCGTCTTCCTCAGGAGTCCACCTGAGGACGCACGCTGCCGGCTGGCTTTTAGAAATGTCGTGGACGCGCGCGGCCCCGGTCGGCTGAAAGACGCGCGGCCTTGGAGCGCATCTCAAGAAGTTGCGCAGGTGCGTCAAAAGCTCGCTGCGCGCATTAAAGTTTGTTCATGTGGAGATCTGTCCATGTCAGAGTTACAGAGGAGGACCACAGCAGCTGCTGCTGATGATTAATGCTCCAGTTCAGTCAGTGTGCTGAAAACCCCCGCCTGCCTGCGTGCGTGTGTGTGCGCGCGTGCTCCAAGCAGTGTGGGGTTAACATGGCGAGTGGCACCGCGTCTAAACCCAGTTAAAACGCTGACATTAAAGGACCATTTCCAACCTTTTATGCCCGGTGCACCATGTTTTGGCTCTTGTGGTGACTCGAGCGCACTAGTGTTTTATGATGCACTTTTAATGGGATTAATTCAAATCAGTTTATATAACACCAAGTCACAACAGAAGTCATCTCAGGGCACTGAACAGAAACATTCTTATCTATAAAAATAAGTTAACATGAATTATCTGAGGAGCAGACTGCTTTGAGTTTAACTTCATTGCAGACTCTCATCTTGAGCAAGCATGAAGGCGACAGTGGAAAGGAAAACTCCCCCATGAGGAAGAAACCTTTAGCAGAACCAGTCAGGACAAGCGGTCATCTGCTTCAACCGGCTGGGTTTGAGAGGAACAGGAAGGAGGAACAGATACACAATGGCAGGTCGAGAATCACTTGTTAAGATAGAAATAGTATCAATTGAAAAATATTCAATTTTAACCATTCATTTAAGGAAATTAGGTCAATTTGTCCTACAGTCTAAGCTTAAGTAAGCAGAAGCCAACCCTAACTATAGGATTTATCAAAAAGGAAAGTCTTCAGCCCAGTCTTAAAACTGGAAAATGTGTCAGCCTCACAGACTGAAACTGGAAGTTGGTTCCACAAGAGAGGAGCCTGATAACTGAAAGATCTTCCTCCCATTCTGCTCTTGGAAACTCTAGGAACCCCGAGTAAGCCTGCAGTCTGAGATCAAAGTGCTCTGTTAGGAAAATATAGGACAATAAGATCTGTAATATAAGATGGAGCTAGGTTGTTGAAGGCTTTGTAGGCTAGAAGCAAATTAAAGTTGATCGACTTTCAATTGAGACTTTTAAGTCCTAAAGTAAATGAAAAGTTTTTTGTTCAAAATGCCCCTATTCTTCCTGAACAATGATAAAACTGTGCACATTGTCCCAAACACAAGGCTGAACTTCACCTAACAAAGATTTAAATGATAATTAGTGGATAAATGGCATCACGTCTGATCACTCAACCCATATTTCTTATCAGATATTACAAATCTGTAAGGGAATAAACATTCACAGAATTACAGAAACGGTCTCATAAATATTTTTTAATACCGATTCTGTACGTGTCTCTTACTTGTAAAGATGAAACATGCATCACATGTATAATGTCCGTTTATTTCTCCAGGTAGTCTCCTCCTTTTTTTTTTACCTCCTGCCTTTTGCATAGTAAATCTCCTCTTATCTCTCATTTATTAAATTTATCAATGACATTAAATTGTAGAGATGAGAGAGAGAGAGGGAAGATGGAGCTGGTAAATAAAATAAATAAATAAATTAGGATTTAAACCTGAGGGTGGGTAAATAAAATAAAGTTTAAAATGCAATGGGACTGTGAGGAATATCCTGTTCCTATTTACACACACACACACACACACACACACACACACACACACACACACACACACACACACACACACACACACTGAAACGCAAGTCGTTTACATCACTTTTCATGAACTGATTTCACAAAGCGTTATATTTTCTCGTCACGGGGACAGCCACACGGTCTTTGCATTCAGAGTTGAAACTAATTTCAGCACAGATATTTTAGAATGAGCTCGGATCAATACATTCACAACATTTGATAAGGTCTTTTGTTTATTTTCTTCTCGACGTTGTCAAAAACTGATCTTAAAGTAAGGTACCAACAGATATTGGCATGCATATTGGAGCTCTGCCACAAAGACTGTAGCGCACTGACCCACAGCACCATGGAGAAAAGAGAAGGGGGAAACGTTACCGCCAAAACAGACCCCTGTTTTTGCATCGATTTGGAAGACAAGACATGCTTAAGACTTAGAGGACTAGCTTAGACATGAGGTTGTAGCTCAAGAATCTTCCTTCCCTCCCACACTACAGACGTGTGTGACACACTGATATGTTCATGATGTCACTTTGAAAAGCTGAACAGGACATCGGGTAAACAAATACACCTCGACAGGACAAATGTGTTCTGTTGCTTATTGTGAGGTCCTGTGGCCACTCCTTGAAAACGGCCTAAACTCAGTCTCAGTTGTCCCAGTAATCCCAGTCATCTGCAGCTTTTAATCTTTGCTCCTCATCCGTTTGTGAAAAGTCCTGCATCGTGATTCCCGCCCCCCTCTGTGTGCATCTGAGAGTCTGTTTGTTGTTTTGAGTTCCACATGTGAGATGAGTTTTCCGGACAGGTCCTAGATGAAATAAATGTGCCCGTCTTGGATCGGTGTACAGTCGCGCCCGGGCTCCATCTAACCTCTGGGATGTCCTTAGACCTGGATGACAAACTCTGGGTTAGTGTAAGAGAAGCCCTGGAACTCGTTCTGGTCCAGGTTCATGATGAAGAGTTTGTCCGTGGGCGTCAGATCCACCGGCATCTTCGTGAACTCCTTGTCAAAGTTCCCGACGTCGCGGCGAGTTTTCTGCAACAGAGAAAAACAGTTTGAATATAAAGTTAAAGAGAGTGAAGGTATAAGAGAAAAAAATTATAATTCAGCAAGACTGGGAAAGTAAAATTAAATTAGAAGCACTGGAGTCAGATCATTGAAGTGGGGTTTTGTGGAAAATATAGGCACTAATATGGCTCCTTGAGGGATCTCAGTTTGGAGAATTTGTTTAATTCCGACTGGGTTGATGAGCTAATGGCTAGTCACAGGACCAAAGTGGCCTGCTGCCATCTTTAAACATCTCCAATCTGACACATTTATAAATGGGTCCTGAAAAATCTGCATTATAAGCATTTACTTGGCCGTCAGAGTTTTGTATTTCTGTTATTTACACAAAATCTATGGTTATAAGCTTAAACAACGTAACAGCACCTAGCTGTAGCCCTTCCAGTGGAGCCTGGAGATTTTTTGTCAGGAACGTCAGTTTTTTCTTCCTGAACTGTGGAAAACTTAATGGAGGCTTAAAGTTTTTAAAACAGTAGCATAAACCACTTTAAAGTTGTTGTTTTTTAACATTACATTCACACTAATTGCAAATTCCAAAGTTTGGCTCAAATCCCTCCCCCCCCCCCCCCCCCCCCCCGCATGGTCGTTCACATAATAATTTAAATATGACTGCCATCAGACTATACAGTATGAATAATCTATGACCTTGAAATGACCCACAGGCACAGAAGACGTGACGTCTCATGCAACACGTTGACTTTTAGGCAGTAAATATGGATGCTACACAGCGTGTGTATCTAATCTGAAGCTGTTGTTCAGTCAGAGTCAACAAATGTATTATCTGCAGTGACTGCTTTGTCTCGTGTTTGCATTTGATCCTGCTGCAGAATGACACTTCTGGAACAGCAGCGAAGTCCTGAGCGTACAGGGGACAAACAAACTCGAGTATTGATCCCATCGCATTAGTACTTATACATTTCAACACCACCGGTGGCATCATATGTCGCTGCAGATTCTCTGTCATCCAGGAACTGACGAATAATAATAAAAACAAAGGAAAGGCAACTGGACTTCTGTTTTGTAGCTGAAGGCGTGCATGATATTGGTATTAATATTATCGATACTTGGATCAATCAACATACCCCCTCACTGACGTAAAAGTTGAATGAAATGTGACATCACCGTTCAGATGGAGGTTGCTTTGAAAAACATCAGTTTTTTAATTTTTTTTATTTAGTACCACATAAAAGTGAACTGGGTCACAAAAATAAAAAAGGTTTGTTGCATTCAGATGGTCCAAAATAAAAAATTAAAAAATTAGGGATGCACGATATTATTGGCATGGTATCGGTTGATATTAGCGATAAAGTTTAATATCGGAAATCAGCCATTCCATCAAAATAACTCACCGATATAAAAGGCGCTGTTTTTTTTAAATATATATTTATATAGTGTTACACCATTTTCAGTCCCCCTTTTTGCCATCTGCATTTGGTAGCAGGCCAAACTGACAAAAAACATGCAGAATAATGTATTTTAATTCCACAGCAGCGAGTGTGGCTGAATGGTTAGAGTAGTCATCCTCCAATGTGAGAGTTGGGGGTTCGATTCCACCAGCAGCCAAATGCTGGGAGTGTCCCTGGGCAAGACACTAAACCCCTCATAGCCTGACGTGTGTCTCATCGGTGTATGAATGTGATCAAGCTGATTAGTCTCTTTAGAATGATTTGTAGAGATCTAGTAGAGTGCTGTATGAATGGGTAAATGAGGACACAGATTGTAGTGTAAAGCTTTTTGAGTGTCTTGATAAGATAGAAAGGTGCTATATAAGTAAAGTCCATTTACCATAAAATCAGTGCTATATAAGCACAGAAATCTATGTAGTCTCTGTAATTAGGACTAGGGGGGAAATATCGGTATCGGTAATTGACCAAATAAGTTTTAACATATCGGCATATTGGATATTGGCCAAAAATCCAATATCATGCATCCCTATAAAACTCAGATATGGGGCGCATAGCAAAGTGAGCAACAACAACAAAAAAAAAAGAAGAGAAAAAATCAAGCTTTTGCTTGCAGTGTGAACGTAGCCTGAAGTGCTTTTAGAGAGCAGCAATCCACTCAGGACTCAGCCCAGCTAAGAGCAGTCAGCTCATCAATCAGGTCAGGGTTCAACTCTGTTCCTCCAAACTCGGGTTGTTCAAGAGCCATCTACAACAGGTAAGATGTTAACTGTTCTTAACCTTTCCACAAAACCCCACTCCAATTTATCTAAACGTTCAACTAGTTTATAAAAGCACAACGATGAGGGAGAAAGGAGGCCAGAATTTGTAGCACACACAAAGACAAAGGTCTAAAAATCTGCAGAGTTAGAACAGACGGTGTTAAAAATAAATACTACGTTTTATCAATTAAACCTTTTGAGTTTCCAATATGCTCACTGTAAAAATGACTGATTCATGAGTTTTGGGAGTTTTTGCTTGAGAAGATACTAGATCTGGGCCCCATCAGGTCCAGTTTGTTTTGGTAACACAAAGGAAAGCGTTTTGGTCAAACCTTGTGAATGACGTGGGAACTAAAGAAATATTGAGAAATGTTTTTAGGACTCTCGCTGTTTTTGTGTTGGCTAATGTCAATCAGCCGTCGTGGCCACCTTGAATTGGGGCGACTTCAAAAGTTAATAAGTTGTTTATGTGCAGCCAGTGATTACTTTCTGAACATTTCAATAAAATCTTAGTGCTTCAAGAAATATTTTGCTAACACTAAAGATAAACTGTCTACAAGCCCAGGATTTTCAGCCTTCCCTGCCATTTAAAGTACATAAAAAAGCTTGTTTTGTGCTCATTTTAAATATATATTTTATAGTGGTGTTAAATCAGAAAGGAGTTTGGGTTTTGTCCTACAAATGTTCATCCAGTTTGATTCATATTAAAATATAAAAGTTCTCTGGTAAAAAAAAAAAAAATCAAACAACTTGTGTGGACTAATTCCAAACAAACCTGAGCCAACCAGCTGAACAAAAACCAAACACAAGCTGCCGACAAACTCAGGAAAAAAAATACATTTAAAAGACAAAGAGGAGCCAAACAAACACAGAAAGACCCAAGACAAACTTGGAAAGCCAAAAAGAGAGAAATCATTGTGTTACGAAGCAGACGAGGATCAGTACCAAACCACAACCAGAAGGGATTTTATACAGGAAGGAGAAGCAGCGAGCCCCCAGTAACACACACCCCACACACACAAAGTTAGGAGTTTCCTACCTCCTCCTTTGGCCTCATCACAGGGCTTCCAGCTGAAATGAGGAGGGACTTCACCCTTATTTCAGCACGCTGAGCACAGAGCAGGTGTTTTATCTTGTGTGTTTGTGTTGTGCAGAAGAGTGTACAGTAGTCCCTCGCTACTTGGAGATTCGACTTTCGCAAACTCGCTCCATCGTGGTTTTTCAAAGTAAGTTTGAACACGAGAAAATAAAAATTGTGCTGGACACGATTGTCAACTTTAGTTGATAGTAATATTTTACTCAGGTGATTGGGACAGTACAGGACACAAAAGTAAAAAAAATAAAACACTTTGGAAAGGCGCCGCCATTTTGTAGTTTTCTCTCAATAAGCCTACACTGTATCTCCACTCATAAGGACTACATTTCCCAGAAGCCCTATTGCCTTCTGCTGAAATACATAGAGGAAAAATTTTGATCTGATGGGAAACAGTTTGGCGCTTATTAGTGACTTTGGCACCCAGTGGATGCAGAGAGCCGCACGGAACCCACCGAACCAGAACCGGACCTCCAGACCTATCGATGAATCTTGCGAGCTGGTAGCTGACCCCGGAAGACTTCTGAGCGGGACGTGCACCGCCGAAGGTCCGGCGCTCCATCCGGAGCCCACAGCCACTACCCCGAGCCAGAGAGACGACCAGAACCGGCAGGATAGTTCTGCCAAAACGGAGCCAAGTCGGAGCGGAACCAAGCCGCTGCTGTTCTGCAAAGCTGTTAAGTAAAATTTAGTAGCTACATATACAGTACTGTATGTATGTTGTTAAAATGAGGTTTAAGAGTTTAGAACATCGCAAAAGTGTGGGAAGGGTTTATAAAGCCTTAAAAATATATAGAAATACTAAAATAAATATGTTGCTACGTTGCAGATTTTCACTTATTGTGGTGGTGATGGTGGGGTCTGGAATGTAACCCCCACAATAATCGAGGGACTACTGTATTTTAAAAACTGTATATGTATGAGCAGTAAGTAACAACATGATGAATAAAAATAGGTGTGGACATGAAATCATCTCGTATGTGGAACTGATGTTTGGCCGTTTTGTAAGAGTAAGCAGGCGGACACAGCAGGAGTCTGGTAGGCACCAGTGAGTATATTATCAGTTTCCAGTCATACAAAGCAATAACACAGTCCACAGTAGCATCTCTCCCATCCACATACAAAATATCCAAACAGTTCTCCGATACACAACTCGTCATATATTATTTAATCTTCCTCAGTTTATTTCTCATCAGTACCCATCATTACAACAAGTGCTCACTGTTTTTATCCGATAGAATCGTCTTTAAAAGGACGTACGTTTGACGTTTCCTTTCCGCCACCTCATTTTGTGATAAAAGCTCAAAGAACAAGATTTGACACAGTTTTACCACCTCGCATCGTTAACACAGTTACAAAAATATTATACAACTCAGACAATTCATCTCGTATATGAAAATGACTTCCAACGAGGTGTTATATTGTCGGTGAACAGAAAGGATCGGCTAAAATGCATATAACTGTACGTGTATAGCAAAATGGCACAAGATGGCTGCCTGTCTTCACAGTTTGTAGGAGCAGGATTTGTCTACGTCCTCGTGATTCTGAACCTTATTTTGGCACTTCTGGATATATCCTGTTCCTGTAGTCTTAACTACTGGATTCATAAGACTCTAAATTAAATAAGCCATAAAGGAAGTTTCTCTAAAAGGGTGGTTTACAAGCAAATAGATATGGTTTTTGTTAATAAAAACAGAGTAAAAAGGAATGTGTGCTCTGAAAAACATAAAGGGGGTTGCTGATTTAATGTAAAACGATTATAAATCAGCAAAGAATGCAGAGTTCACCATAACACTGAACAAAAATGTATTTGATACTACAAACAAAAAGAAAGTCAACATGTGGGAAACTGATTAGTATTCAAATGATAGCAAAGCAATCGGTCAGTTTTCACTTACGCTGCATGAAATACCAACATGTGATCATAATACACTCATCCACGTCACTGATGGGTCGTCGTAGTCGAGATGCAGGCACAGGGAGGGTGACACAGAGACGTTACAGCCTGCTGATGTGAGCAGCCAGGAAGCATTCAGAGGCACGAAACAGTCCTCCACTAGAAAACCAGCCTGAGCTGATAAAACAGCAGCTGTTCTGTTGTAATCCCAAATAATCCCAGAATAAATGGCCTCTGGAACATTAACATGAAATAAATATAAATGATTATTTTGGTTGATTGCTGTTATTTTATCAATTATTTAATAATTGCCATTTTGGTTAATAAAATTATATACTTTATTAATATTTATTTAAGCCTTGAACAGAAAATGTTGCATCAGGCCCTAATGGATTAAAGTTTCACCTTGCTGAATGCGACCTGGAAATGACACCATGACGATGTATTGTTTTATTTGTTTTCATCTGTAAGGTATGCTTGTGAAGTGCATGTGGTTACTAATGCAGCCGAGGGATGCGTCACATGGTCAGGGAGTTGGGTGAATGTACTTGGGGTTAACAAATGAGAAGCCTTGAAACTCTTCCTGGTCCAGGTTGGATATAAGCTCCTGATCTGGGGGGGTCAGCTCTGGGGGGTGGCGCGTGAAAAAGCGATCAAAGTTCTCCGCATCGCGCCCACACTGCCGTGGAGAGGAGAGACATGGAGGAATGGAGTGAGTTTGATGGAGGGTGAGGGTGGGGTGGGGGGTGGGGGGGGGGGACAAAAAAAGGACAACAAAGAGAAAAAAGAGAAACACAACTAAAACATGGCGTCAACCAATCAAATCGCTCACAGCCAAAAACTGTGGAATTCCATTGGTCCAAATGAAAGCAGCTCAGCTTCATCATTGGTGACGACACTGACAAGTCTCAGCTGTGCACGTGTCAGGGTAGTGACCAATGGGAGGGGATGGTTGTGTTTCAGTGACGAGCGATTTAATCATTTCTATAACTTACCTTCAGGGTTTAACTAAAAACAACTTATTGTGAGTAATTTCTAAGGCAGACATGTTGAACTGGATGGAATCACCAGGGTGTGTGTGCGCACGTGTGTGATATACTCACAGCTTTAGGTTTGAAAGGTGGCTGGACCTCTTTGTTCTCTAGCTTTTCCCAGTCTATATAGCGGAAGAAGGCGTGCTCCTTGATGTCTCTTTCTCCTTCGGGACCACAGCCAAGACGCTTACCTGGATGTTTGGTCATCAACTGAAATCACACACACACACACACACACGAGGAGTTCACACCAGTCCGTTTGACTGTATGCTCCCTCTGATTGTTTTATTGTTTTTACAGTTTTTCATAAAACCCTTCAGTGTGGATCCAACAAAGTTCAGGCAAGTCATCTGGACTTTTTTTTTATTGTTGTTGAGATGTTTTGTCCTTCATCCAAAGGACTTCATCAGTCCGAGGAGCCACAACAAAACTCAGTCCTACAAGCAGCACACTCCCATAGCAGACCAACGAATTTGCTGGTGATAAGACGGCTTCTGGTGCCTTCCCTCTCCCCCCGTCGACTCCTCTGAGGCAGCCATAGCCAAAGTGGTTCAAAACGTCAAAGTTCATGCTCAATAATCCAGGTAGAAAAAAAAAAGTTCAGTTGGGTCAACTGGACGGTTTCTTTTTTTTTGTTGTTGAAACATTTCGCCCTTCATCCAAAGGACTTCATAAGTCCAAGGAGCCACAACAACTACTATGTGAAGATGCTATTTATAAGACTGAGTTTGTTGTAGCTCCTTAGACTGAAGAAGTCTTTTGGATAAAAGACAAAACATTTCAACTAAGAAGAACTCGACCAGAGGACCTGAGTCAACCTTGTTAGGTTAATCTACCTGGATTATTGAGCATCAGGACTTTGTATTGCATATTTTTATTGCCATAAAAGGACAACCTCTTCTGAATCACAGTTAACCGATCTGCTTATTTTTTCCCTACAAATAATCATGTTCCTGTGAAGAGTTGCTTAGCTTGGAGAGTGAAAGATGACGGACGATAAAATATTTGCTGTGATGCGTTCAGTTGCTATTTTGCTTTCTGTCGTCACTGCTGCCTTCCTGTCTGTGCATTCTCTAAACTGAACAGAGCGATCTCTCACTGACCAACTCTGCGCTGATTAAACATGCTGAACAGTCTCTTAACTGTATGAAAAAGGGTGAGCGGGTTAACAGATGCTCACTGATGCTTTCAAAAGGCATATTTTAGCTTAGAAAATAAAAGCCCATATCCCATTGTCAGTTTGAAAAAGAGATTTGAATGCTATTGACTGCATCATTTGATAAAAAATTTGTCAAACGACCTCCATTATTAAGTGACCACTGTATTGTGCAAATAATGTAAAACAATGCTATTTTTTTCATTTTGCTTTCAAGGTGCCAGACTTTCTTGTAGTCGTTAAAAAAGGTCTTGATTGGTAGTCCTGCAGTCATTCAAAGTTTGTTTTGACTGCTTTGTCACTCGGTTTCTGTCCTGTTCTTATACTTGACCATAAAGGAGATATATATATATATATATATATATATATATATATATATATATATATATACATATATATATATGTGTGTGTGTGTGTGTGTGTGTGTGTGTGTATGAAGATTGTGGCTTTAAGTAGTAGGAAAGAAATCCAGCAAAGACATGCAACATATTTCAGCTAGTAGATGCTAAATCTTTAGGTAAAGCTTTTTGGGCATCCCTTTAAATGTTATTTTGTGCCAAAATATGTTATCTTTGGTGTTTTAATCGATCTAGCTAAGGAAATAGGAACAAATTGTGTTTATATAACATGTGTCTGGTAATAATTGCCTAAAAAAATCTAATTTAAAATGTCTTTGCTATCCAGTCTCACGGGTCGACCCGACTCCAGTTGAGTTTAGGAGCCTTTTTATTCCTGAATGGTCAGAGTTAACTGACTTAGACAAAAATATAATCCTAAAAATGAGAGTAAAAGCAATTAAATAAAATAAAATAAAAAGACAGAAAAACATTCAGAAATATTGAATACCGGTACTTATCTGTCTAAATGAGTTTGAAAAATTACAAAAAAGACTAAAGACAGAAAATGATGAAACCTGGAACAAAACTGTTGAAACGAAAACGATCCGGCCAAAAACTAAAATGAGCCGAACATTAGCTTAAGTAGCAAAACAGCACCTCAAAGCTAAAACTGGCAAAACAGTAGCTAAAAGCTAAAAATGAAGCAACATTATTGGAAAAGTAGATTTCAGAGAGCACAAAGTTTTTTAAGGATTTTGAAGAGATTTTAATTTATCTCAGTTGGGAAATTAAGGTAAAGAAAATTACAAACAAACACCAAAGATCATGGCTGTGATGTCCTGATCGAGCTAAACATTTCGACACATCAGTGGTTAAAATATCTGAAAAGCACGATCAAGTATGTACAGTCCAAATAATGTACAGGAGAAACAGAGGTGTGAATGTTGACAACATTATAGGAAAGTGTGGCTCTTTGGAAGCAAAACAGAGAGTGTTCTCACCCCTTTGCAGATAGCAACAGCTTCTTTAGACATGGACTTGGGGTAAGAGACATGGTGCTCCATGATCGACTGGAACAACTCATCTTCATCTTCACCATCAAAAGGTGGCTGCAGAGGCACAAATGCATATAAGCAACCATTTTTTAAGGTTCCCAGGTAAAAGGCCGTGAACAGCAAATGTAAAACAAACCTGCCCAGCCAGCATTTCATAAAGCAGTACTCCAAAAGCCCACCAGTCTACTGACTTCCCATAAGGCTGATAGGCTATGATCTACAAGGAGAAGAACCAAGTCTTGGTCAGACAGTAAAAAGATCTAATCTCTGGACAACACATGAACACTTACCTCTGGGGCGATGTAATCTGGTGTTCCACAAAACGTCTTAGTGGTAATGCCGTCAAGCATGTTCTCTTTGCACATGCCAAAGTCTGCGATCTTTATGTGGCCCTCGGAGTCCAGCATCACATTGTCCAGCTTCAGATCTCTGTGTACAAACACACACAGACGCATGACTTACATCTAGGCCTGTCATAATAAACAATAAATCAGTTAATCACATGATAAATGAAAATTATCAACCTCATTTTCATTTATCAGCTTTATTGTTTCTTTGTGTCTCTCTCTTTCTACTGAAGACACTGGACGACAAAAAGCTCAACTCTGGTGCTCTTCACTGACCCCTCCCTTTCTCTTTAAAATCTGTTTTAACCGTCCAAAACTGCGTTTTTGGATTGTTAAAAGCAGCTAAGCTGAGAAGTTAAGCTGAGAAGCTAAGCTGAGAAGCTAAGCTACGAGCTAAGCTAACAGGCCAACCTTGGGAAAAACCTCCGTCTTGTCAAAGCTCCAGAATTCCCGGTTGAAACCTGTGCCTTTGCGTAAAAAGCTGTTTTTTTCCCCTGAAAAAATAAGATGAGAACTTTTTTTACTGATTTTTTTTATTAAAAACTTTGAGTGAAAAATGCCATCCTAAAGATATCCTGATGCATGCTCAATAATCCAGGTAGAAAAATCCAAAAAAGTTCAATCTGGTCCTCTGGACATTATGACATGTCCAGAGGACCAGATTGAACTTTTTGGGGGCTATCCTAAAGAGCTCAAACCACCAAGCGGCCACCATTTTAAGAGCTGAAAAACAGGAAGGAGAGACAGCCTGTCATTCCTCTATCTGTTACGGAAGCACAATCCGTAGTGTACTTCCGGGTCGCACCGATTGCCGTTGTTTATGAATAAGAACTGTCTTAATTTACTTAGAAAAGTACATGCTCTATCTCCACTGATCTTCATGTAGCTAATTTACGCCACTCGTATTTCCGTTACAAATCATTGGTTAAGATATGCGACGCATTAGACCTGATCCCCAGCCTGGGCTGAACGAGAAAAACCCTGCAAGATACAGAATTAATTATTTCCACGGTGAAGCAGCGCCGCTCAGTGGTGAAGCTGCATATCATTTTAACCATGACGTAAACATGTCACTGATTTTAACGGAAATACGAGTGGCGTAAATTAGCAACATGGAAATCGGCGGAGATAAAGCACATACTTTTCTAAGTAAATTAAGACAGTTCTAATTCATAAACAGAATTATACTAGTACATTTTCCTTAATCTAGCATATTCAACGGCGATCCGTGCGACCCGGAAGTATTCCTTTTAGCGCATGCACAAATGAGCTACACTATAGATCATGCTTCGTGACAGATCGGGGAATAACACAGCCCATGTCACGTCAAGGGGCCTCCCTCCCATTTTTCTTAAAGAGACACGCTGCTCGCTCCCTCACTATCCATCCTTTGGTTCAAACAATCTTATACTGCCATCCGGTGTTCAAAAAAGTTACTACATGCAAAACAAATTAACCAACATTTCTTCTTAAAGAAGAACTTCTCTTCAAACAATATTATCATTTACCGCAATAATTTCTGAGACAATCAATCACCCAGCAAAATTCGTTATCGTGACAGGCCTAGTTACATCCGTGTTCTGACACATTAGAAAACTCCAACACAGAAAGCAGAGATGATCCAAAAACTTACCGATACACAATGCCTTTGGAGTGAAGGAAGAACAGACCGACAGCAATCTCTGCAGCATAGAACCTACAAGACAAAGAACAGTTTCTAACGATGCGGATGTGTATTCACACAGCACGAGTGATGCGCTAATATCTCATATTTATACTCTTAATTTTGTCAGAACTGTTGGATCTTTATGTTTTAAAGTATTGACGGTTTACTTGTGGGCAAAACCAGTTGTGTTGCACTGCAACAAGTGTGTGCATTGTTGCTTCGCACATCTTTACACAAGAAATATAAAGTTAGATGCTAACCACTATCTTGTCTTGAGGTAAAAGCTTCTTCAGAAGGCTCAATTTTCAACATAAACGCAACATCCTGTCAGAATATTTCAAAACCCTAACAGAAAACGTATCAGTCGAACTGTAAATGATGCAGCCTTGTGATATAGTGAGATCATGTGCGATCTATAAGTGCTCAGAATATTTTTGTGAATGACTCGGCTATGACTAATAGTTCAACATCTATAAAACTAGTTGAGGTACAACCAGTTTTGTGGAAAAGATTTGAAACCAGATCTTGTGCGAACAGTTTGTCAAAATATGTGTTGGGGATATGTCCTAAAATTAGCTCAATATCGGTCAAACTCAGTTGTAGCTATTATTGTCTCATGTTTGTTGTGTTAATTAAAAGATGTGTGGCAGCAGTTTGAACCCTCTGGAGGTGAGCAACAGAAGAAGCACTGACCCCAACATAAAGCACATGGCAACAATCCAGCCAAGTCGTGATTAAAAGCATGAATTATTGCTTCAAAGTGCTTTCTAGAAACAAGTGTCTTTACTCCAGCCGGTTGCTCAACTGAAAAATGCTTGATTCATTTATCAAGCTTAAGATCAGCATCCGCTTGGACCCCCAGGTTTGTGATGGTTGGCTTAGTATCGTACTTGCTGTCGTACATGTCGCTTTGCCGTATATGTCGCATCTATTATGCACCACCGCTGACAACCCGGAAATGTGGGCGGGTGTTGTGCCAAAAATCGATTGACTGCCAAATCACAGCCGCGGCAGCGTGCATGAGAGGACTTCAACAAGAATTTAACAAGATTAACACTTAAAAACAATTATTTGTTTCATCAAAATTATAGCAAAGGTGTGTCTCAGTCTAACTTTTCCTCAATAAATGCACTTTGACGGTCATATCAGCTGCATTTCAAAAGCCGATTTGCAGAAGCGGAAGAGTGCAGAGGGAGGACTCACTGTGCATTCCTTCGAAATTCAACAAGACAACTACCTAAAAACAATTATTTGTTTGCTCGACATTATAGTAAAGGTGTGTCTCAGTTTAACTTTTCCTTAATAAATGCACTTTAGTGGTCAAATCAGCTGCATTTCGCCTGGGCAGCACGGTGAAACGCAGCTGATTTGATGTTTGCTCCAGGAGTTCTGGAGCAAGACAAAGGTGGCTTGGTATGGCAAGCCAAGTGTCTCATTAACAGTAACTTTTATTTATTAATGAGACACTTGGCTTACCACATTACTTGAGGGCCCTCTAGAGGCTGAAAATGGTAGTGTTCAATATTTTCTGTCAGAATGAATGAAAATCGTCAGATCTGAGCCAAAAATTGGTTTATAAATATGGGGGGAAAAACATAAATATGTCAGTTCGCTGTATAAGTCGCAGGTATGCTAATTTTTGCCAAAAACTGTGATGTACACAGCAAAAAATATGGTATGTTGGGTCAAAGAATCTAGATCAATACGGGGGTGTCAGTGGAGCAGCCAAAAACCAGAAATTCAGTGTTCTTATTTTAATATAGAAAGTTCAGAGCCATACAGGCCTCTAAGTTCTCAAATAATTTAAGTAAATGGACTGTACTTATATAGCGCCTTTCTATCTTATTGAGACACTCAAAGCACTTTACACTACAATCTGTGCCCTCATTTACCCATTCATACAGCACTCTACTTTAAGCAGTGGTTTAAAAAAATAAACAGCGACACAAGCAAACACGTCAACAAGTGATAAATATAAAACACAAGAGGTATTCTGTTGTGTCATATTTTAGAGCTTTCATCATTCATATCTTGAACAGCATCAAATTAAAGGAACAAAAGTGCTGCTGTGTAATCCAAGAGGCCGCTGTTCTGTGAGAACGGTCGTTTCTCAGAGCACCAGAGGTAGTTTGAGAAAGTTTTTTTAAAGTCTGCCACATCGTTTTGCCGAAGCTAACTAGCATTTAGAAAATTTTACAGAAAGTTATGAAATTTGTTGTTTTCTTGCAGTGACTCGCCTCCTGCAAGGTTAATGAGAACACCTCTTTTATACGATAAACATTTATCAGAAGACAGATCATGTCCATAACATTGTCATAAATTTCTACCAACATGAACCTATCAGCGGCAGAAAACTGAAACAAATTCAGACATTCCTACCCTAATTATTTTATTTATTCGTTCAGATAAACACCAAATTTTGGACACCAAATCTTGATAAAATGATTATTTAAGAGAAGACCTTTATGTGAAACAGTTCAGTGCTTTTGTAGAGTGGACCATCCACTTGAGATGAGTGTGTGTGTGTGTGTGTGTGTGAATACTCACACAGCATGGGGCTCTTTGAACTTCCCAACCTGTTGGATTTGGTACATAAGATCTCCTCCATTAATATATTCCATGACGAAGTACAACCGGTCCTGGAGGCAGTAATTGAGAGACAAGACAGATAAAACGATAGGATTAAATACATTAAACCAGTTTTATGCAACTTATGTGCAGCTTAGTGCAGTGAAATGGTTTACAGATGACTTTCAAGAAATTAATTTGAAAATAAAATAAAAACACAACTGAACGGTGATCATATTAAAAACAATAATAAATGTCTAGCATTCCTTAAAGGAATGCACATCACCCAATGCCTTAATTGTCAGAGTTTTAACTTAAGGTCATTTAATGAGAAGAAATTATGGAGGTATGGCTGATTAGGTCAAATTTTCAAATTGCAGTAATCCCTCGATTATCGCGGGGGTTACGTTCCACACACCATCATGATAGGTGAAAAACTGCGGAATAGGAACGCTATATTTATTTTAGTTTATATTTTAAGGCTTTATAAACCCTTCCCACACACTTGCAATGTTCTAAACTCTTAAACCTACGTAATTTTAACAACATACATATATGTACTGCACAGTACTGCAAAATTTTACTCACCAGCTCTGCAGACCAACAGCTCGGTTCCATAATATAACGTTGAAAAATCGCGTAAGAGTGAGTGCGCGAACGTCGAACCGCGGAGTAGCGAGGGACTACTGTACTTTTATGTGCAACCCCATGAGATAATGCGAGTGAATTGTTACAGTGTGTATTGGGGATGACTTTCAGCTACTACAACACCAAATTTAATATCTGTACAGTAGTCCCTTGCTACTTTGTGGTTCGACTTTTGTGAACTCGCTCTTTCGCGTTTTTTCAACGTTTGTCAACGTTAATATTACTCACGTGAGGGAGATGGTACAAGATAAAAGTTAATGAAAAAACACTTCAGACAGGTGCCGCCATTTTCTAGTTTTCTTTCAAATACCTATACTGTAACGCCAGTCAAAAGAACTACACTACCCAGAAGCCAACAGTGCTTCCGGACGCTGCTTTCTGCTGAGATGGAGGGATCATTTTTCAACGCAAGGTCAGAAGTAACGATCTATCTATTGAGCTCACAGAACTGGCAGGAAAGACGCAAATAATCCTGAAGCTCAATTATCCACGCGCACATCAACCTGGACAGGGCTGTGAGCTTCTTCGCTGCAGGGTAGTTCTGCAGAACCAGAACCAAGCTGGAACTGAGCTGCTGGTCTGCAGAGCTGGTAAGTAAAATTTTGCAGTACTGTACAGTACATATGTTTGTTAAAATTACATGGGTTTAAGAGTTTAGAACATTGCAAGAGTGTGGGAAGGGTTTATAAAGCCTTAAAATATTTATCAATACTAAAATAAATATAGGGTTCCTACTTGGCGGTTTTTCACCTATCGCGGTGGTGTGTGGAACAAAAACCCCGCGATAATCGAGGGACTCCTGTAATACTGAACCAGTTTTAGTCCCTGCTGATTATCTGTAACGCCCACCTTGAATCTGACTCCCAAAATAATCAGATGTAGATTCACACCCAGTGACTTCTTTATGAGAGTTTCATCAATTCCATTCAGACAAACGTTTGCATTTTCCATACCATGGTTTGGAAACACGAGTGCAGCTGAGTGAGGAAAGGAGGCTTTCCAGCCAAAGCGAGAACTCTCTTCTCCACCATGGTGCACTCCACATCGTCATCTTGGATCACCACGTCTTTCTTCAGGATTTTAATGGCGTATAACTCATCTGTGCCTTTCCTTTCTGCCAGCATCACCTGGAAACAAAAAAGAAATAAAAACAAGTGAGCTGCAGCGTATACGGTGATTTTTATTGTTTACATGTTTCTTTGAATGAGCCTCACTTTGCCGAAGCTGCCTTTGCCCAGAACCATGACAAAGTTGAAGTCTGAGAGCTTGACGCGGTCCTGATTGCCGTTGCTGTCGTATTTGCATACTGAAGAGGAAGAGGAGTCTGTGGGCTTCCCCGGGCCCACTTTTGCCCTCTGGAGGTTTGGAAATCACAGAAAAAATAACAAATAGTAGTGAAAAAAATAATAAATTAGGATCTAGCCTAATTCCTCTGAAACTTGCCTCAAATTTTTGTCGTAGCGCCTCATTGCCGTCTTCTCCGTCCGGCTGGACGGGAACATTAAAATATTCTCCTTCCTCCTGGGACAGGAGCTTAAACCTGCAGCCCAGAATGAAAGCGGAGCTGTGTAAGATAAAACCCAGAATTGTTAACAAGACAAGATTCGCACCTTGAACGTCTCACCATCCATCTATTCCAAGTTTCTGTAGCTCTGAGATCCCAAAGGACAGCGACCCCATGAAGTCGTTCCTGCTGGTTAAATCCCAGTCCCACACCTCCACCGAGAGACGGCGGTCCTTGTCGCTGTCTTTAAGGTTACTGAGAAACAACCACAAAAAAGTAAGACAACATCCTATTTATTAAATAAATAATATATTTAACAAGACAGCAAGTCTCTTGCTTCTTTAGTTAAACTAATAGGGAACTCAGCCAATGACACTTTTTTCTTTACATTTTATGTACAGTAACCCAGAAACGCTCGAATAACAACGAGCAGAAAGACTTGAAAGAATGAGGACAGGTCCACTTTGTGCTCATGTGACTGAAAATGAGGCCAACAGACTTTAAAGAAACCAAGTTCTAATAATAAGGAGCTAAAACTCCAACATGCGACAGAACAAGAGATGCCTCACAAAGAGAACGTTTCGTTCCAGGTGGGGTTGAGGCAACATTTAATCGTCTTCGTCTTCTGCTTGCTCTCACTCTTGGGGTCCGGGATCAGCTTGAGCTTAACGTAGGGGTCTGACAGGCCGTTTGGGTCCATGGGCACCAGGTTCTTAGCCTCTTTGACTGTAGAGTAGAAGATAAATGTCATTTTAATTACATTTAAGAGGAAGGGAAAATCCCCTGATAAAACACACTTAAAATTTGTCCTTTCATGAGGACAGAAAGAGGCAAACCTGCAAATGTTAGTGCCATTTATTCCCCCCTGCCCTAAATAACTCTGGATCTGACGACACTTAACAATAGTTTGGTTTCTGTTCTATAATCAAATCCCAGCTGTGTAAGAGAGAGCTGGCACGTGGATGCACATGTGGGTCAATCGTTGAATCATTGAACGACTAATGGACTTTCCAGCTTTAGTCTCAGGCTCATAGAGAGCGCTTTGCATCCTGTTGAGGGAAAGCGTGAACACCAAGAGAGGAGCGGGTCGGACGAGGAGAACTCACTGGTGACGGCCAGTTTCTCATCAGTGATCTGGGCAGAGATGTGGATGCGTCCCCGTCTTTCTGTGTGATCTGTCCCGCACAGGCTGGGGACATTGGCAACACATCGCTTGTGGATGTTCATCATACAGTCTGGACACAGAAATTCAACAAACAACTTAATCAAGTATCAAATATGTATAAAAACTGCATCTATACAAGTTACATTCTGGTTTTAAACCAACATCAAAAACTTAGAATGTAGCAGAATTTATTTTTTTTACCTACATTAAAGGAGCTTGTCAGTAGGACTGTAAATAATGTTCATGACTCAAACAAGAAAACTCATCACCGTAAAGGCAAGAAATAAATATTGAAAGTATAGATCAGATCTTTTCAAGTGTGGTTTTGTGGAAAGGTTGTGAACGGTAAATATCTAACCTGCTGTAACTTTTTTAATCACCTCAGTAAAAACAGTTTAATTCTGACTTTATAGACAAGATAACAGTTAATTACAAGACCAATTTAAAACTAATACAATCTCAAAAAATTCACAGTGGTTGGTTGATGCTAATAACAATTTATAAACCTTTACATCACAGTTAGTTTCGTATTTCACAGTTATTCACGTACAGTTATTTGGTTTTACACTTCTGGGGCAACATAGATACCTTCCTGCAGAATCCGTATTTTTCAGCCTATAAGTCACAGTTTTTTGCATAATTTACATGCCCTGCAACTTATACACCAAAGCGACTTATGTTTTTTCTCCATTTTTATAAACCACTTTTTGGCTGAGATTTGACGTTTTCATTCATTCTGACATTGAAAATATTGAACACTACCATTTTCAGCTGCTAGATGGCACTCAAGTGGTACGGCATGCTGTTGTGTCATGTAATTGGTAAAAGTGACTATTAATGGCAAAATCGGCATGCTATAGACTGCCACCTTCGTCCAGCTCTGGGATCATGCCTGGAGCAACCATCAAATCAGCTTCATTTCGCTGCGCCGCCCTGGTGAAATGCAGCTAATTTGACCATAGAAGGCCATTTATTAAGTAAAAGTTCAACTGAGACACGCCTTTAATATAAAGTCAAGCAAACAAATAATTGTTTTTAAGTGTTGATCTTGTTAAATTCTTGTTAAAGTCCTCCTGTGCACACTCCCGCAGCCACCAATTGGCAGCCAATCGATTTTTGGCACAACATCGGCCCATGTTTCCAGGTCGTCAGTGGAGACATGTAACAAACGCGACACGTCAGCTGTGTTGCATAATAGATGCGACTTATACGGAAAAACGACGTATTTATGTTTGTTTATATTTTATTAGACATATTTGGACTGATGCGACTTATAAGGGGGTCGAGATGGTGTAGAGGCAGGGCAACCGAATTGGGACCCGAAGGTCCTGGGTTTGATCCCCGGTCACCGCCCATCTTCACTTGCTCCAAGGGCAGCTCTCCATAGCTGCCCACTGCTCCACCTGGTGGTGGATGGGTTAAAAGCAGAGAGCCAATTTCATCTTTGTATGGGAACATACAATGATGACAATATATAACATATTATAAGGCGGTGTGACATGAACGGCAGAAAATACAGTAGTCCCTTACTTCGCGGTTAGACTTTCACGGATTTGTTCTTTCATGGGTTTTCAAAGTAAGAGTGAACGTGACACACAATTTTGGCTGATTGATGGATGAGCCACATGAGCGGCATGGACTGTTTTGTTTAATATTTAAACGATTTAGCACTTGCTGCACCTGTGTGCAGCCCACAGCTGCAGGGAGAAGCTCCCTCCGCTTTCTACCACCCACATTTCTGCTCCGTGCGGCGGCAGCTTAGTGAAGGGTTAATAATTTGCTGTCCAGATGCACCGATCAACTTTAGTCTTCCAACTTAAAATACAAAGTGTGTCACATTGTAAAATCGTCATAATCACAAAATATAAAAGTCTTAAAAGTTATTTTTAATTATTTTAAAATTTCTATGTTCAGTTGTTACAGTGTAATTGATCAAGAAATACATTTCTGCTCCGTGCTGCAGAGCTGCGTGAAGGGCCCATTGCTGTCCTGCTGGGCTTCTCTTCTCTACAATTTAAATTTAAAATATTGTAATGTTTTAAATAAACAATCTATATTGTTTATTTAAAATATTACAGTATTTAAATTTAAATTGTTTATTTACACAGAATGTGAGAGATTGGGAGTGAAACTTGAACTTGGGACTACTGTATCCGTACTTCACGGTTGTTCTCTTATCGCGGGGGGCATGGTCCCCTAAACCCTGTGATAAACGAGGGACTACTGTAGTACTGCCATGGTAACCATGGACTCTGGTTCTTTGCTAGCACAGTTTTCAGCAGCAGCAATATGGGTGTACATGGTACATAGAGTTAGGCCTTTTGCAATAAATAATAAATCAATTAATTGCATTGGCTTTACCGTTTCTTCGTTTATCTCTCTTTCTGAAGACACTGGATGACAAAAAGCTCAACTCCGGTGCTCTTCACTGACCCCTAGCCTTCTCTTTTGTCTTTAAAATCCATTTAACCGTCCAAAATCGCGGTTTTGGATCGTTAAATGCAGCTAAGCTGAGAAGCTGCGATACGAGCTAAGCTAACAGGCCGACCTCAGGAAAAAAACTTTCGTCTTGTCGAAGCTCCAAAATTCTTGGGTGAAACCCGTGCCTTCGTGTAAAAAGTTTTTTCTGCAAAAAGAAGCTGAGAACTTGTTTACAGATTTTTTTTTATTAAAAGCTTTGTGTGGCAAATGCTATGCTAAAGAGCTCAAACCACACGGAGCGGCCGCCATTTTGAGAACCAAAGAGCGACAGCCCATGTCACGTCAAGGGGCCTCCCTCCCATTTTTTAAAGAGACACGCTGCTCACGCCCTCACTAGCCATCCTTCAATTCAAAATTCAGTCTTATACTGCCATCTGGTGGTTGAAAAAAAGGTACTACATGCAAAACAAATTAACAAACGTTTCTTCTTAAATTTGACAATAATTATTAATTATTGTCAAATTTCAAACAATATTATCGTTTATCGCAATAATTTCTGAGCCATTTAATCGCCCAGCAAAATTTGTTATTGTGACAGGCCTACATTAAGTATATCTGTACTGTGTGTTTGGCTCTAACGTTTTGGACAGGTACTGTGAACTGATGACTAATATAACAGTAACAGCTGATCATCGCTCACAGGGCGAGTTATGCACCAAACTGTGACTTAGGCGGACTGTTACAAGCCCAAGCAGCAACAAGCTGTAGTTCTTCCACCGCAACTTGAGGGTCCTCCAACATCAAAATATTTCTACTAGAATAATTATGCAATGTGCAACATTTGTGTTAATGTTATTTAAAAAGCATTAGCATGGACTGCTATTATATTCGTGAAAAAAAGTTGTTTTACAGCAGCACTTTGATCTTAGTCCTGCCAAACTAGTCATTATCTTGTCAGTCAAGTCAGAATTAAACTTCATTTCTCCAAAAAAAAAAAACCACATCTAAAACAAGATAATGTTAACAACCTTCTCACAAAACCCTTCTTCAAAAGCTCTGAATTATCCCTTTAAGTAATTATAGACATGTGAACACGTACAAACAGAGGCAAAAATGAACAGTTACATTAAAGTTTGACTCAGCACACATGTGCTAAATCTATTTAAGACATTTTTGAAAGGGGTTCACTGAAGTGCAGTTTTAATCAGTAAGTCAGCGAGTCTTTAAAACGGAAGAGATTGAACAAAGAATAGCACAAAACAAATGAATGTGCAGCCTTGTATTTTAATTGTGCAGATACCATCGTTCTGGAAACGCAGCAGGACCAATGAGAATTTTGTAAACAAAAATTGCAAGAAAAACATTTATATTTAAAAAAATTGTCAGAATGTAAGGATGATTACAGAAACAGCAAAATGGTTAAACTTTCAGCTAAATGTTGAAGTTGTGTAAAACTTCTTCTGCAAAATAAATAAATAAATATAATGGTGCATTATTATTTTACTATTATAAAGTTTATTCATTTTTTTAAACAAATCAATTTTATATACAATAAGAATGATATCTAACGAAACAAACAACCAGCTGGTCCTAAAAGTCTGCACTGACTTTTGATGGTTATAATTAGTAAACAGATAATATCTCAAAGAAGCAGCACACTTTAAGAGAAACCTCACATTTTATATTCTGTCCTAGATTAGGAGCTTTAATTGCAAGACGACTCCGAGCTGGAATGGTCAAGGAAGGATTTGCATCTTGTTTGACTCCAATTCAGGTGAAACAAGTGAAGGAGCCTCCTGTCTCCGCTCCATCTGCTGCACCTTTTGCCTCCATGCACAATCTAATATTAGTTTTCCTTCTTTAAAGGCCTGCTTTATCCGGGTTAGACTCTTTTGAAAAAGATCCTGTGTATTGTTACTTAGTCTGTTTTTGTTTCTGCTTATCTATTGAAAAGTCCAAGAGTTCATATGAGAAAAAAACTAACTAAAACATACAAGAAAAATTAAAGAAAAACTAAATTTTAATCATGTGTTTGTGTAGGGTGATAACAAAAAAAAAACATGTTTACTTTAAGGGTAAAATGAAAGTGAACATCAAATATACATTTTGTGGCGCAGATATTTGTCTGTAGTTTATTGACTGATGCAAAAAAAGCAAAATAAAACTTGTAAATCTGTTGATGTGGGCCAACAGCAACGCTCTATTTGTCCACTAGATGGCAGACGGCAGTGATTTACAAAGCCAATCATTCTGCTCCACTCATCAGTGGGTGGTGTTGTTGCCCTGCAGAGGTGGAGAGTGAGATGTTTATCTCCTGCTGTCTGTTCCTCTGTTGAATTTGATCTCACATCTCCAACAGAGAGATCAACGATCACGTCGTTCATTCATGCAGCTTCAGATAGGCTCCACTCACAAACACTAACTAAAGTTGGCACGCTCTAAAACCAGAAACGCAATTAATAATGAACACAATGACTGGTTTACTAGCTCCTAAAGTGATGACCAGATTTGATGAAACAGGTTTGAACCCAGCTCAGCCCTCTACTAGAGCTTAGTACAAAGAAACGCTGTGTAAAAATAAAACGAGTTTGTTGTAAACCTTGTTTAATTTGATACAACTGAAGCACATAACAAGTACCTGATAAATGT